CTGCAGGACATTTTATGCCCACCTAGAAGTATGGCCTTGGAGATGTCCAAGCTGACCCTGTCATCAAGGATTGAGAAGCAGCTGAAGATGTTGTTCAAGAGAAGACATGAAAGAGGACAGCAAGGCACACACAGTCGTCAGAAATCTCTCATGTCACCCCAGTAGCAGGCCTGCAGGTGCTGACTCAGGGTCCTGGAAGTCCCTAGGTCCTAATACTCACAGGTCAGACTGCTAGCTCCAACTTGCACCCACCAAATCCTAACACAAAGAGAGCACTTGCACCCCAGAATGTACCAGCTGCTTCCCCAGTGCCAAGAAACAGTGTGATCCAAGGACAGGGCTGGCCTATACCCAACCCTCAGCTCCTGCAGCTCCTACTCCTTGCCCCCCTCCCAGCTCCCAGACCTTCAGGCCTGGCTCTAATGTTTCTTCCTCCGTGAAATCTTCCAAGTCAGAAGCCAAGCACTCTTGAAGGCCATTTCCCCCACCATGTACCAAATTCCATCAGGCATTTTAGTTGCCTGGGTAAAGACCATGTCTCTAAACTTCTGACAACAGATATTCTATTCATGTCTCACCACCTCCCCCACCAGCACCTAGAACTGCACCACCTTGCACAGACTGGACATTAATTAAACATTTTTGGTCCAACAAGTTCAGATTAATTCCCCAAAGTCCTTCTTCTGATTGGCTACTAGAGATCATGGCCAAGGGCTGAGGGGAAAGAAAATCAAAACATGCCATCTCCTTGGAAACCACATATATTGCTCTATGTTTCAAAGGAGAATGTGAACAGTGCCATGGAGGATGGCAGAGGGTCCCTGCATATGAGAAGTCCGCCCCATTCTCGCTGGACATTGCCTAGAATTTCCGGTTATAGTTTCCTGGCGGCACTTCTGTCCTAATGCCTACCCATCCATTAGAAATCTCTGACCAACAGATCAAGCCTGTGTTCAAATCTGCAGTTCCCTGAACTTGAGGAAAAGCAGGCTTCCCTGCCTGGAGTGTTAGGGGCTATCTGATCAGCACACGCGGCTGCCCCCTCTTCTACACACCCAGCCCAGCCGGGCAGCTAAGCCTGTGTGGTCAGGATTCTAATAAGGCCTCCCCATGATTTGCATATAATCACACAATGCCAGGCACAACAAAGCCACTCAATACGGTAGAGCCTTCTCAGCTGAGTTTAAGGTTTAATCTCCTTAATACAAAAGTTTCTGCTTTGCTTTTGCTCGGTTCTGGGACTCTTGCTAATGATGCTAAACAAATACTCACCCTTTATCCCTCTCTGGAGGCTCTGCTGAGTGCATTGTGGCCATACAGCCCTTAACTGTTGTGGTTTACGGGCCAAGTCTGCACCTGCACTGTTTGTGTGAGCTCATTTGGACGCCAAGCACAGCAGCAGTGAGCAGAGCTGGGGAGAAGCCCCCATCTCAGGGGCCTCTACATCTCCCCACAGACACCGACTCTACACTGCGCTTCTTGTGTAGCCCCTGCTTATGCCCCTGGAGAGCTCCCCCAACCCCAGCCCTCTTTCTAAGACTCGGCTCCTTGTTTATGTTTCTTCCAGTCTACCTCCTTCCTCTTCCAGGGTCCAACCCCTGCACACTTTCCCTTCCAGACTTACCTCCAGCTCCTCAGTCTCCGCACCTTGTTCCACTCCACCTGCTGCCATTTCTAAGCCCTTTTCCTGTTTGTTGCAGTGCTCCACCCTCAGGCCTCATCAGAGGACGCTGGCTGGCCCAAGCTAAGAGGCTTCAGGGCACCACATCCGAGGCAAATGCAGGGCTGCTAATCTCCACTCCAGCCTCTCAAGCATGTCATTGTGAGAATGAAGCAAGAGTACAGTATTTGGAAATCACAATCAGGTGGAATGAGAGTGCCCTGACCATCATGATTGCTTTTGTGTAATGATCTCAAACTTACAAAGAGCAATGAAGTCTTAGATAAGTCTTAAGTCATTTTACTTACAGCAGTCATTTTACTATATTTCACAAGGCTGTAGTTTGGAAATATGTTTGGCTAGATGAGTCTTCTGCTCTATGTGGCATTGGTGGGAATTACTCTGCGGTACCTTGCCAGCGAATCAACTGATCTAGGGGTATAAAGATGATCTCCAGAGCCAGGTGTGGGGGTACACGCCTGTAATCCCAGCACTCGGGAGGCTGAGGCAGGAGGATTGATGTGAGTTCGAGAGCAGCCTGGGCTACAAGGTGAGTTCAAGGCTAACCTGAACTACATGGTAAGACCCTATAAGATAGATAGACAGACAAACAGACAGACAGACAGATATCTCACTTTCATAGCTTGTCTTGGTAGGTATAGTTGGAAGGCACAACTCAGCTGAGATTGTTAACCAAAAAGACTGTGCACGGCTTCTCCAGCACTGCACTCAGAAGGACCAGAACCCTTGCATAGCAGATCAAGGCTCCTAGAAAGTCTTTTCCAAAAGAACTGTGCAGAAGCTATAAGGCTTAATATGATCTGGCTTAGAAATCCCAGAATCTCACTTCTGCCTCATTCTATTGGTCGTGTAAATTCGAAGGAAGGGAATTTGCAAACAGCTTTCATCTACCACACCAGCTAAGAAAGGTCTTCTCAGGAGCCTCCAGCCCCTTTAAAGAGTATAGGGAGATGTTTTCCCAGACATAACTCTTTCTTTCCCGGAGAGAAAAACCAGCATCCTACTCTTGCCCTGCCTGGCACCATGTCCCCAAATGACCCAGTGTGTGGTCTGCCTCTCACCCGCCTTGGTTGCTAGCAGGACCTTCAGTTTCTCTCTGTTGCTGTTGGAGACCCAGAGCTGCCTTTTTCTTTTTCTGTTTACAGCTGACTTAGATGGGAGATAAGAAAGCTTAAGTGAAGTCAGGACAGACATAAAGATAAGGGGTCAATGCCCCAAACTTAAAGTCCCATCCAGGTGCTTGCCAAATGGCCCCTGCAGTGAGCCCCTGGAGAAGGGTGGGCACGATGGTGCTCTCTAATGCTCTCTGGGGGTCAGAGAGGACCGTGGAGCTGAGAGGGGCAAGGAGAGTGGGGAGAGGATAGGTTTCTGTCTGCCACACCACTTCGCTATGAGTCACAGCAACACCTAAGCAGCACCTGGTCAGACAGGCTCCAGCAGACCCACCTCGCCCGAGCCAGCTGCACTTTTCCTGGCTCCAACCTGGGAGTGGCAGGTGTCTGGCAGGGCACAGTCCTTGCTCTCACAGCAGGGACGCAGGGTCACACGGGCCAGGGCCCCAGAGAACTCTTTTAAATTGTCTTCATAACAGGTTTCAAACTTGGCTCTGAGGCATACAAAAAAGCAATGAACAATACAATAATAAACTCCCATGTACCATAAGCCGATTTCAGAAATAAAATATTACTGTATGCAATGCTGGCAAGAGATGAAGGTCTGCTCATTTCCGTGCAGGGAGGAAGGAAGAATTGGTGGGGAGGAGGGAGGGAAAGCTCGGCATCACCAATGGCTGCTGTGTCCAGAGAGAGGGTGCTGATTGGTGCCAGTCAAAGGGGTCTGGGAGCAGAATGAACAGAGAGCTTCCTTCCTGCCACTCCCAGCGCAGGGACTCCTCAGGTCCCAGTCTGAATGACCCACTAGTTCCTTAGGGCTTCCCTAGGGATCGAGGGTCCTGTCTCTGTCTGCACGCACACACATGCGCATGTATGTCCGTGTCTCTCTCCACGCTTAACTATAAACTCCATACTGGTGTCTCATTACTTTTCTCTCATAAACTTTTCTTCAGGGTCGGGATTCTTCGTTACTGAGTTGAAAGTGTGATTCACCCCGGGAAACCCCCATGACTCATGGGCTGGGGATGGGAGAGTACACAGAAAGAGCAAAAGGGTTTGAACACTAAGATCAGAGCGTATCCAGAGCCCAGATACTGGCTTCTAAGATCAGTCTTCAATAAAAGGAGCCAGAATTTTTGGGGAAATGGCAGATTCTAGGACTGGGGCAGGAAATATACAAAGAGGGTCTGGTAACATTCTTTATGCCATAAAAGTAAGGAAGTGTTCACACACTCACACAGTTGTTATGCACATCAAAAGAAAAAGGGACAGACTTCATCTGCAGAATTCCAAATAATTTACATAGACGCTCCCCCCTCTGGGAGATGAGGCCTACCTCCCTCCTCCTTAAGTGTGGGTTCTGAAGAATGATTTTCTTCTTCCAACAAGTATGGAGAGATGGAAAATTAATAAGCAACGTTACAGCAGGAGAAACCTAACAAGCTGTACTCCAACTAGGTGATCAAGGTCAACATCGGCAGTGACACGTCATGTTCGCAGTGCGTGCCCTTGTCAGGATGTGCTAGAAATGGACCTTTCTCACTGCGGTCTTCTAATTAACCCCTAGCTCAGTGCAGTCATTAGAAATAGTGTCGACAGAAGTCAGAGTGCTGGGGGAGACCGGAGGAGGACTGCGAGCAACAGATGCAGGCTGGCTAAGAGGTACCATGGGCAGAAAGACAGCGAGAAGCGCTCTGTCAGAAGCCTTAAGCTGGAGGTGGATCCAGCTACACGGACAAGTCTCTAAGACAGTGGTGCGAAACAGGATGAGCAAGGGGGACGTGTGTGCGGCCATCTCCATTTTTCAAGGACATAAACACAGTTTATTAGAGTCCTTGTTTACAGCAGATGAAAATCAGAATGCGGGAATAAGTGAGGAAAATAGGAAAGAGATCCTGCCCAGACCAGCAGTGAAAATGTGCCAAGAACTGAGCGTGATTATTCAGACCTCTGTGTCTGAGGAACATGTGTGTTCATGTGTGTTTGTATGCACGAGAGGGAGAGAGACAAGGGGGGAGGAGGGGGAGGGGAGGAAGAGGGGGAGGGGAGGAAGGGGGAGGGAAGGAAGAGGGGGAGGGGAGGAGAATAGGGAGCAGGAGGAGAGGAGAGAAAGGGAAGGAAAAGGACACAGAAAAGTTTAAAGGGGTAACAAATCGAATCAGATGAGCTTTGTGCAAACTGAAGGATCAGCAGTGAGAAGGCGCTGGCGGACAGAAGAGCTTGAGGCAGCTTGAGAAAGAAAGAAAGCGCATGCTACCCGTGGTCAGGCGGGGATTCTTCTGAGAGAGACAGGGGAGGGCGGAGCGCTCTATCAAAGTCAACTGGCAACGAGGAAGTGTTTTGGAAAGCCATACCTTCCCTGGCACATAAGATATTAAATATACGCCCTGGGAGAGAGAGAAAAATCACAAACGTTGGTGAGGGAAAAGAAGCTGAAGCAACACAGCGGAGACGGGAGCTCCAAGGAAACGCTACGGTCACAACCGTGGTGTTATGAAGGCGCAGCCAGTGTCTTGGGCATTCGCCCCATTCCACCAGCAGTCAGTTACGCGACCTGATTTACCAACCCTTTGCCTCTCTGAGCCTCAGTTTCTCCGTCTTCAGAATGGAGGGTTGGAGCCAATAAGCCCCTATCTCTGATTCTCGTGATTCAGACAACGCCCGAGTCAACGCAGGGAGGAAGCCTAGAGGCCCGACCTGGTCATGTCTGGTTTCTTAAGGTGAGCTTTCGCATTTTACTCTCACTCTTCCTCTCCTGTTGCTAATCATGTGAGCTCGGGTCAGGGGAAATCCTCTCCTCTGAGCTCTTGAGGTACAGAATGTGGAGTCTACACAAAATCAGTACTCCAGTCTCCCTCCTGTACCATGTCCCCTCACTGGACACATCTGTGGCCTCCCTCCAGGGGAAGAGTCTGCTCAAGTCTTGTGATTCTTTTGCATTTCCACCGGGCTAACCCTAGCGAAAGGGTTCATTAGCTATAACTGCCACCTCTAAACCCAAAATATCCCCACTAGCTGAAGACTCCAAGGCCAGACATCTTAAAATAGAGAAGCATCCGACTTTTTATTCTAACTTCAATCTGAGGAGCAACTTGAACTTTAAAAAAAATTTTTCAGTTTGTTATTCCTAGAAATCCTATTCAGCAACCTACTTTTATGGGAATTTTGAAGAACATCACCCCTAGGGTCCCTCCCAGCTCTAATTCTGCTCCCACTCCAGTAATCTGACCATGATGAGGCCAAGAACCTCTTACCAGCCAAATAAACTTCATTATCCCACTCACTAGGTAGAAAGTAACTGTTGAAGTTGATTTCACAGAAGGAAAAGAAACATAGTGACCTGCTGGCCGTGACTAATAGAGAAAGAATGGAAACAGACCAGGAGATTACAAAATGTCCCAGATCTCCAGGCAGGCGGAAGCTCACCTACTTTTTCACAGAGGAAGAAAAGTTCATGAGCTGAACCGTACTCTGCCACCTGGAAAGATTGTGCAGTTGATACGGATAGAGAAGGCTTGGGAGCCAGAACACCTTATTCTGCCTCTGACCTCACCTCCCTTTAACAGAGTGATCCTAAGCAAAAGACTTGACCTCTCCGAGCCTCCATTTCTTACTTGATAAAACCGGACTTCCTGCAATGTCCATCTTACAAGGCCTCTGTAACATAAAGGATAGAGCTTGTTAAATACGTCACAAAACTTTGCTAAAGTGCAGTCCCAGTGGCTACAGCCTTACCTGAGAACTTGTTAGGAAGTCATACATCTCAGGACCCCATCCCATATGACCTACAGACCTGATCTCCAGGTGGTTGGCTGGGACTGTAAAGTTTTGGAATTGTGGCAAAACATCATATAGATGTTCAACTTCATTCCATCAAAATAATTGAGATACTAATACCAATCCTCCCACTCACACCCCAACCACCCATGCCCCAGTTCAGCACCTCCTGCAAGCGCACAGTGCCACCTACTGGACAAACAAGGGTAAGGGTTACTGAGCCATTCAGTTGTGAACTAAGCAGGTGACAGAAGTGACGCTTGGGGCAGGCGGACACTCAGGGAGACAGGAACCATTTGGAGGAGTGGCTATACCGGGAGATAGCCCGCAGTGTGGAATCCATGTAGCCTCATGCGACAGATGAGTATTGGAACCGTGGGTGGTCTGAACTGAGACGCACTGTTAAGTAAAACATACAAGGGATTTCAAAAACTCAGTAAAAAGAATGCAAAATACCACACTTTTAAATATTGATTACACGGACTAGATAAAATGTTATTAAAATTAATTTCACCTGCTGCATTTTGCTTTTTAATATGGCTAGTAAAGCATCAAAAATAACATGTGGCCGGGATTATATTTCCATTAGATAGCCCTGAGGTAAGCCGTGTTTTCTCAGAATGAGGATTCCCAGGCACCTTAGTTTCCTCTTCCTTTGGTATATGTATCTCTATAGGGAGGCTTCACTTCTACCTTTTCCCCCATCCAGTAATTCTCCTTCCAGCTCCAGCTGTGAAACAACGCCATCCACTGGGGATATAGCTCAGTGTCAGAGCATTTGCCTAGCATGCATGAGGCCCTGGGTTCAATCCTCAGCACTGCAAAAATATCAAATTAAATTAATAAGAATTTTTTAAAAAAAATATCAGCATCCAACACTTTTTTGGTAAATCCTTGTTATAGTTTGTGTCTGAATATTCCCCCAAAACCTCATGCAGCCCTGGGGCGGGATTCTAGAGTTTATGATTGATTCATGATCCAGTGTTGGAATTATGGATGTGATACACCCACCCTGGGGCAGATAGTTTACATACAATATAAGGGAGGGAAAGAGGCTGCTTGCTGCCTGCTTGCTTCCTTTTTGCTCTTGCTGCTTTTGCTGTTTTCCTCTGCCAGGAATGGTTACCCTGTGCCATGTGCCACTCTGCCTGGCAGCCAGCCACGTAGGGACTGAAACCTCCACAAACTGTGAGCTAAATGAACCTTTCTTTCCTTAATTCTGGATGTCAGGTATTTTGTCTCAGCAATGAGAGAAAAGTAACCAAGACAGAATTTGATACCAGAGAAGTGGGGTCATTGCTGTGACTATACCTGACTATGTGGTTCAAGAGCCTTTGGAAATGGCTTGTGGGAAGTGTTTGGAAAGGTTCGGAGATGTTGCCTGAAAGAGCAGAGCTGGAACGTCTTCAGCTGTTCTGTATGGGAGATTCTGGTCAGGGCTCAGAAGACCAGAAGGCTGGTAGAAATCCTGCCAGTAAAGACTGGGCTTGGGAAGTTTCTGCTGGGAGGAAGGACTGCACTGGGTGCTAGACTCCAGATGATGTATGTTAGGGCTTAGCAGAAAGTTTGTCTGCATTTTGCTCATGTCCAGAGACTTTGCCTAAGACTGAGATTAAGGGCGGTGGACTGATTAATCTGGCAAAAGAAATTTCCAGGCAGTCAAATGTTGGGGCAGTGGCATGGCTATTGTTGGAGGCTTTTAGCCAGATTTATGTTGAAAATCAAGAGCAAAGAGCCCAGCAGGATGGTTTAAAATATTGCAAATTTGGCCAGAAAGGAAGCTCCAGTAAAGCTCTGTATTGCAAAAAATAAGAGTTGAGGAGATCCCCATTGCTGAGAAGGAATGGGAGAATATAAAAGATGGCCTGAGGGCATCACTAGGAGAAGCAAGTCTCCACATTTTGCAGCCTCAAACCTGGAAAGGTGAAAGACTTTGCTTTGAGAAGAAAGCTGCAGGGCACCATGTTCCAGAATGGTGACAGCACAGAGAATTTGTTCCTCAGAATCAGGTTCAGAGTGCTCAGCAATCCAGGCCCTCAATCCCTTCGGCCAAGAGAGAGGAAAGCCTGGCTACTGCTGCAGGTGGCAGCAGACCTTGGCATCATTCATGTGGCACTGGTTTTAAGTGCATATAGAATGAAAGAGTTCTGAGGTTAAAGAGGCTTCCACCCAGATTTCAGAAGGCCTGGGAAGCCAGGCAGTGTGCCCCTGAGAGGGCAGTGTGTGAAGCTGTGAGTGTGAAGTGAAAAATGCAGTGAAGACCTCAGAAGTTTGGAAAAGCCAAGAACGTGGATTGTCTGAGGAAAGCTGCAAGGAGGGAGCAAAGCGGGCCCAAGAGGAAAGCCATGGGAGCTAAGAAGTGCCATAGGAGCTGAGTCGTGCAAGCCCTTTGGAGCTCACAATTTACCACAGATTGCTTCAGACATTCCACATGCAGCTACAGGACTTAATGTTTTCCCTGCTGGATTTTGGACTTGCTTTGGTCCCATTCCTTTGTATTCCCCTGTTTGTAAATCTTGCAATGAAAATGTTTATTTTGTGCCATTGAATGTTAGAAGTGTTTAACTTTCCATTTGTAGAGGGGCTTGTAACTAAGAGTTTGCCTTACAACTCGGAAGAGACTTGGGACTTGGACTTTTCAGCAATGCTGAAACTGTTAGGACTTTGGCAGCTCTTACAAATGGACTAAATGCCTTTGCATAAAGGGATGTACATGAGTCTTTGGAAGGTCAGGGGCGGAATGTTATGGTTTGTGTCTGAATGTCTCCCCAGAGCCTCATGCAGTCATGGGGTGGGCTTCTAGAGTTTATGATTGATTCATGATCCAGTGTTGGAATTATGGATGTGATACACCTGCCCTGGGGCAGATAGTTTACATACAATGTAAGGGAGGGAAAGAGGCTGCTTGCTGCCTGCTCCTCCCTTTTTGCTCTTGCTGCTTTTGCTGTTTTCCACTGCCATGAATAGTTGCCCTGTGCCATGTACCACTCTGCCTTGGAGCCAGCCGAGTATGGACTAAAACCTCCACAAACTGTGAACTCAATAAACCTTTCCTTCCTTAATGCTGGATGTCAGGTATTTTGTCCTAGCAACAAAAGAAAAACACCCAAAACAGTCCTTTATATTTCCAGCAGTTCAAACAATATATTTGAGAGCTAAGATTACCTCTAGTGGCAAAACCAGAGCTAGCTATTAAGCAAGCAGAATGCAACAGTAATTGAATACAGGACCACTTCTCTTTTAGTATGTTTTGTTTTCCTCTTCTAGAATTCGTAAGCATCAATTTAGTTTGATTATCTGTCATCTTAATGAAGCTGCATCTACAACAGTCATGTCATCTGCTGTTCCTTCAATTATTGCATCTACACTTGAAATACCATACATAGAATCGTTTCTGACCAGCTGTCCATTTTGGAGAACACCATTTTCACTCATAGAGCACTCTCTTTTTAGCTGGGATGCTCCAGAGGGCCTAAGGGGACAAAAGTGGCTCCAAGTCCAGCCCATGCATGGTGAAGCAAGTTAAGGATTTAATATGAAGCACAGAAGCAGATAGCATCAGACAGCAAGCAGTACTTGGTACACATTTCTGGAGAAGCAGTGTCTGTGTTGTTATGTACACCTCGAAAAAGTTCAGATCTGTCAGAGAGTTGTTGTGTAAAGTAAACTGAACTACAGGGCAGCAGTGTTTTAATAGCTATTGTAGGCCTGTATTTACTGTATTAAAATGAGTAAAAGAACAAGCAGTGACACACCACTAGGCAGGGGTAGTGAGGCAGCATTTCCTTCTCCCGCTGCTGCTGAGATGGTGGAAGTTAGTCGAATTCAGTATGAAATGGAATACACTAAAGGTATTAGTCAGTGAATGAGGGTCCTGGAAAAATTAAAAGTAGCATCACCAAATGCTGACCTGGAATAAGGATTCCAAGAAAGAGTTTCAAATGCTAGTGTGATAATGCAAGTTCCAGAGATGATTGTTGTAGCAGGAAATAATGAAGGCATTTCATTTTCAAGACCAGCAGATCTTGACCTTATTCAGTCAACTCCTCATGTACTTACACTAAGTGAAAGAACACTAGATTTTCTGGACTTAGAAAGACCTTCTCTAAGAATCTTTTTAGAACATTCTGTTAAGTACCACCAGCCCTGGAAGAGAAGTGGGTGCATAGAAAGTACACAGTGAGTATCTGGAATGAACTACTAAATGATTGAATGAAATGCCCTTAATTGGGAGACACTTGTCCTGGGAGGGTGAAACTCTTTCCAGAAGCAAGCCAGGCACAAATCACTTGGAGGAAAAGTTAGTGAATTGGATGGGGCAAATCAAACCACATGTACCATTTCTTATTTTTACAACTTAGGTTCTGACAACAAAATAATGCAGTGAACAATCTGAAGGCTCTCCAGATCTGGTACTATTCAAATTAAGAATCAGGAGCCCCATTTACAATTATTAATTTGTGTTTGCAAACTGATGGCCTTGAGGATCCCAGAACCTCAGTTCCCTTTCCTCAATAGCCATGCTTCCCCTATTAGCATCTAACCTGCTACTACTTTATGGCTTTCCAAGCACTTCCTGGCCAGGTAGCTTGAATGGCTTTCTCAGCAGCTATAAAGAAAGCTGGATATTGGAAAAAAAAGCTGGGCAGTACCATGCTGTTTCAATAACTATAGCTTTTGTATTATGCTTTGAAGTCAGAGTTATGCCTCCAGCATTGTGGTCTTTGCTCAGGATTGCTTGGGCTATTCTGGGTCTTTTGTAGTTCTGTATGAATTCTAGGAAATTTTTTTTCTATTTCAGTGGTGGAAGTCATTGGAATTTTGATGGGAATTGCATTGTTTTGTAGATCACTTGGTGTAGTAGGGTCTTTTCAACAATACTGATTCTTCTGATCCATAAGCATGCGTTATCTTTATTTTGTGCCCTCTGTGAATTGTTGCATCAGTGTTTTACAGCATTTGTTGTACAGATCTTTCACTTCTTCAGTTAAGTTTATTCTTGTTATGGTTTACATCTTGATATCCACCCCCCAGAGCCTTATTCCCATATAGGTGGGGTTTTTGAAAAGTTATTATGAGACAGGCAAAAAGCACCTGGCTCTACACACACACACACACACACACACACACACACACACACACACACACATACACACACATACACACACACACACACCACTGGCTGCTTTAGAAAGGAAATGGATTACAGAGGGAGGAAAAAGAACACTAGAACACTGGCATTGTCTGGGCCATGGGTGCCCAGAAGAACCAGATCTCAGATTTCACCGCCATGAAATATTCAGTGAGTGCTTCCTGGAGCTGCTGTGAGCAGCAGAGGCTGTTCTTACTGGACATCTCTCTCTCTCCCTCTCTCTTCCCCCACCCCCCATTTAGATCCTGGACCCTGATCCCTCTGTGCCTCTCCTAGTGCACCATCCTTATCTTGTCTTCTGCTAGTGTTACTGTCACAGTGCCCCCTCTCTGTCCCCATTTGCACCCTCAGACACCTGTCTTGGTGTCCACTCTACTCCTCCCACCACTATGTCTGCTGCTCTCCCTGCCAGGGTCATCCCTGCCCAGAGGGCTGGGATTCTACCCTCTGGGGACATCCCAGGTAAGTGGGCCTTCAGAGCTCTCTTCTGTTTTGTCCTCCAGAGTGCCACTTGCCTGATCACAGAGAATCCTCAGGACTGCGGGGATGAGTCATCCTGTGCAAAAGAGCTGGACCCCCCAGAATGCACGGAAGGTAGGGGCTGGGGTTGCATTTGCACCAAAGCAGTTTGGGGTAAAGTTCCAGAGAGGAAACAGAAAAATAGCGGAGGGGAGCTGCTGGCTTTCTGAACCATCGTGGGGGGTCATTAGAAGGCCCCTGGTGGGGGAAGAGAGGAGTCAGGGATTCACCTGGGCCCTCCAGGGAATCAGAAGGACCTTATAGCTCCTGAAAGCTGATCCCAGTCTCAGCCCTAATTACTGCTTGGCTGTCACCACAGGTAGGCTCTGCTCCAGCTTCCCACCAGCTCCTTGTCCCCCTGGAACTTTCCTCTCCGGAGCTGGTCACCACAACACCTCCTTCTGTGACCTCTGCCCTCCTGGGTTCTTCAACCCCTGGCCTGGCCAGGACGCCTGTTTCCCCTGTGGCTCAGAGGCCAGCCAGCCAGAGAAGGGCAAGGACACCTGTATCTGCCATGGACCTGGGCGAGTGTTCCAGGTACGTCCTCTGGCAGCGGGACCCAAGGGCAGGTTGCATTTCCAAGACTGTTTTGATCCTAAGTCAAATTCCGCTCAGCTGTAACATGATCAGGGTTGGCTCTGGTGTCCAAGTTACTAGGGTTAGGCTTTCTGTTAAACTTGAATTTCAGATAAACTATGGATATTCTTTTTCAGTATTGCACAAAACATACTTACATAAAGTATGTGCTGTATATCTGAAATTCAAACTTAATTGGGTTCCCCATTTTTTTATTTGCTAAATCTAGCTACCCTCTTCAGAGAAAAGGGCAAACTCTGTTACTCTATGGCCACTCCTAAAACATACCCTGACCCAAGCCCCTCTAATTTGAACTTACCCAGGAGCCAATTCATGGTGTGCATGAGAAGCCTTCCTTTATCTTTTTGACTGAAATAATATCACCTGCTGGACCCTTACCTGCACATTCCAGTAACCTTCGCCTGTAACATGAATTCTCTCCAGCCCTCCTTATTGCTCATTTCCCCTGCCCTTTCCTTCTCTCTTGGTCTGTCTCCGGCAAGGTCACAGCCAAAGGGCTGTGTGTGACTCGATACCACCAAGTATCAACCAGCCAACCACAGCACTCTTCCTCACAGCCCAGTGACAGTCGGTGCCCCTGCCTCCCAGGCTACCAAGACATTGGCAAGCCCATGGGTTGTGTCCAGCGGGAACACAAAAGCTGCAAAGACGGGGCCACTTGGAACCAGGAGGGGCTATGTTTGACCAAAGATCAATGGGATGACCACTGTGCTAATGAGGTAGGCGCCTGCCCATAGATTACACCCTGCCTTCAACCCTTCCATTCAAAAGCCCAGCTTCCCAACCACTGGGCTTGTTCCACTGGCCCCTCTGAAAGCTTACCCTCTGAAGTACATCCTCAAATGATGTACTAAAAAAAAGATGTACAAAAATATGAAAGCTTACCCTCTGAAGTACATCCTCAAAGCTAAAGATAATTAGGGGGAACCTCCCTCAGTGAGGTATCCCCAAGAAGTTTGAATCTTTGCTCAGGTGTGTGCTATACCAGGAGACGCCCGGGGCTATGACCCACACCTAGGGCTCTGCCTGTGCTGGGGACAATACTCAAGTGACATGTGTGGACCCCTGTGCCCAAGAGAACAGAAACATGCCCTGCAACTCAGCTGCCCTGGTGGCATCCCACAGCTTTCCATCACTGAAGACACCGGGGTCCAGGTATGGTGCCCTGCGGTCCAAACTCACAACCTGCGGCTTCTGCCTCCATAGATAGAACATGGAGGGTGTGTATAGGTCCCTGGCGCCACTGCTCATGGCCTCCATCACTGTCACTTCCTCTCCTATAAAGGAGCTTCCACAGCCAGGGAAAAGGACCCCGTGTCAACTTAGGTTCATTTTATAAACTTTTATAAAACTGGGGTAGAGGTCATTGTGTTTATTAAAGAGGAGGGATACCATTCAAAAGGCCACACTCCAGGTTGCTTCTGCCCCACAGAACTCTCTGAATTACTCACACTGCCACGTCCTTCTATCCCTGGCAAGACACCCAGAAAGGGCTCGGGGAAGGAGACCCCGTGCTCTTCCCAACTCTTCCCTGCTTGACAGCAAGTGCGTCACGCATGGTGGCTTGACAACTGACCTGACACTGCCCACCAACCCCCATTCCTAGGATTTTTACCTGCTGGACAGGCCTTCTTCACCACGTGCTGTGGGCCATCCCTGCAACTTGGACCAGGGGCAGAAGTCTGTCCCTCTGTACGTGGTCAAGGTAGATGGTAAGAGAGCTGGACAGAAGGAGGCCATAGCTCAGGACCACACTTATATGAGCCTTTCCCTTCCCTTGGCACAAGCTTGGCCCTTGAGCAAAAGTGGGGGAAGCGGGGCAGGACCTCCCCTGGGGAGGTCTCCTGGAGAAGGGCCTGTGAATTCTCACCCTTCATTTTTAAGAGAGCGGAATCCCACCAAGAGCAAATTAAGGCTGAACATCTCCAGGCTGCGTCCACGTCCTAGGGAAAACTCTCACCCTAGTCCCTGTAGGGACAGGGAGCTCCCTGTCTTGTTCTAGAGCTTGGCTTCTTGGGGCTGACCAGACCAGGTCACGAGCTTCTTCAGCCACTGGCTTTGCCCCTTACCAATTTTGGGCGTCCAGACCAGGGTGCAGGTGAGTATCACAGCCTCCCTGTTTGCTCTTCTTCTCCCTCCTTCTCTCTCCCCAAGACCCAGCTCAAAGCTGTCTGAACACAGCTGCTCTCCTTCACGCTTTGAATCTTTCCCAGGAAAGATGAAGGAAGGACATCTGACCTCCCACTGGTCACTGAACCGCAACTCCACACACCCTGAGGATCTGCCGCCTCCAGAGCCAGGCATCCGAAACCCCACTGTCTGCCTCCAAACCAATGACACGCTGGCCTTCGTGGTGACCCGGGAACATTACCCGGAATATGACGTGTGAGTGGTCACAGCCTGACACCTTGGGGGCTCCCCCATCTGCCACCACCTCCGAAATGCAGCATACTCCCTGCTCTCTCTCTCCATCCCCAGGGGCCACTTCTACAACACACTGGAGCAGTTTGACTGGGGGCGCTTTCGGGCCCTGGCTGAGGAATCCCCACTCTCTGAGCAGGGCCCCCACCTCTTTCTGCAGCAGTTCCAGCTGCCTGGGGTCTATATTTTTCATCTGAGCAGCAACCGGCATCGGAAGATGGTTTGTCTATGATGGTTTGCCTCATTTGAGACCTTATCCCATTTCTTCTTCATTAAAAAAGAATACCTCATAACCACCTCAGAGAGCTCTCCAGGAAAATACATGCCCTAGATGCCTCCGCCTAAGTGTCAGGGTGGCATGCTCCTAATAGATGATTCTGGGGACACCACGCTTCCCTCCATAGCAGCCCAACGAGTGATGTGCAAAGACAAGAGGACCGCAAGGACAGTACTCAAGGGTGCCGTGAAGGAATCAGTGTAACAAATGGCTTAGGACCTCTGGTTCTCACGAGCCCTCCCCTTATCCTCCCCTCCCCATCCCCTTCCATCCTGAAGGTACATATCCTAAGACCATCTACACAATAATTTATCTCTGTGACCTACACACTATGCCTCCACTGATCCAGGGGCCTTGTCTATGTCACGCGAGGGACTTAATATCTTAGCCTATCAGCACGTCATGTAAGAGGCTGTACTGATCTAGCCCTGGAGTACAGATTCAGCTCTCCCTATAAATTGTCATAAAGCCCCAATTCCGCCCCACACACACACACACCATAGCCCCAGGTCTACACAACAGTCTGGACTAGTTCAGTTAATGTTGACATCCCTGGGTCACCACTCTGTCCTCTGATCAGTCTGTAATAGTGAGACAAAGACTGAATGGACTTCTTTCCACCCAGTACCTCCGCACTCTTCCACCCGGGGGCCAGTGCTTTGGGGACGGGCCCTTTGCCTCCACAACCCCCAGGTATCTCATCCAGACTGGCATCGCCAAGATCCCCAGCCCCATGAAGAGGTCTGCCTGGCCAGAAGTCCTGGGGGAGATTGTGCTGCTCCTGGGCCTCTGCCTGTTTTTGTTGGTGAGTCCAGCCAGGCAAGTGACCCTGTCGTTACAACACAAGATACCTTTCCAGGTCCCTCCCTGTAAATGAGACTTTCAGTTTCTGTATGCAGTAGGCATTATAATAGCTGCTAACATGCAGAGATGAGGAAGGTACTGGCTTAGGCTCCAGAGCTCAAAGTCTAGTAGGGAGAATGCAGATCAGGAAGCAAATGTCAGCAAATGCAATGGCACCGCGGTGAAGGTGTACCCAAGGGGCCCTCCCCACACGAAGACCCACTGATTAACATCCGGGCGAGTCAAGATAGACTTTCCAGAAGAGTTGATCCCTGAATGAAGCCTGAAATAGGCGATGTATAAGAACATGTTTCCTGTACTAACAAGGGGGTTGGTGAGTTGGGAGGAGGACTGGGGATGGAAAAAAAGGGTATAACTGGCCCCTCATACCCATGAGTTCCTCATCCATGAATTCAATCAAAAATATTAGGAAAATATTTTCAAAATCAAAAATATTAGGAAAAAAACACATTTACACTGAACATGTATAGATTTTCTCTCAACATTATTCCCTTGATTACATAGTATAACAACTATTTATGTAAATTTTCATTGAATTAGGTAGCATAAGTGATTTAATCTAGAGATTTAAATATACTGCAATATGTGCATAGGTTATATACAAATAATATGTCCAAATCATCTAAGGAACTTGAGCACCCATAGCATTTGGTATCCACAGAGTCCTGGGCCCAGTTCCTCCTGATATCAGAGGTGACTGTATTATAGCAAAGTCACAGGTGCATGAGACACCAGGCACTTGCTCAGGGAATCAAACCTGACACTCCACGGCTGCAGCTTAGGGTGTGAGGACAAGGATAAGGCTTAAACAGTTTGTCTCTTTACCCTAAATTGGGGATAGACTCATGGGCTCTGCTGAAAAGTTTGGACTTTACTAGGCAGTGGATAAGAATTTTGGGCAAGTAAAGATGCCTGAGGAGACTTGCACTCCAGCAATAGGGTGAAGGGTAGAGATGGCTTAGAAGGACAAAGCTCCAGAGAGCATGGCCTTTCCAATGGCCCAAGCAGACAGCATGCGGTGCTCTCTAGCCACAGATGAGCCAGGGGCCACTCCTTTCAGAGTCATCAGAAAGGATACCTCTCCCTCGGCTCCTTTTCTTTCCCGTGACCCCCATTATGTACCCTGTAGCTTCAGTGTCACAGCCTCAGCTGGGCGCGGAAGGCCGCCCCTCATCCCACCTACAGAAACCATCAGCAAGGATACAACCTGGATGCATACACGTCCCCAAGAACTGGGGTGCTGTCAGTGAGGAGAGGCCAATCTCAACAAGATTCCGATGCTCCCAGAGATGAGGGAGGTCATGGTGAGTGACAAGCTGGACTAGCATCCCAGAGATGACCCCCAATCTAACTGGCCGGCTCCTGCCTCATTTCTCATCTTCCTGAATGGCTCATTATTTAATTCCTCTTTATTCATTCACTTGTGTGTTCAAGACATATTCATGAAGTGGCTACTCTATGCAGATGCTATCAGGCACTAAGAATACACAATGTAGAAGGGGAAGGAAACGTTTAAATTCAGAGCTTTCAAATGAAAATAAGAAACATCTACTACTATCTTGAGGAATAAGTTCATGCAGAAGGTAGTGTACATCATGTTGAGGCTTTCACAGTCCACCCTTGCATCTCAAAGTATCGTCCTCAGAGAGCAGCATCAGAGTTAGCTTGTTTTTCTAGAACTTGAATGGTATATGAATTTCCTGGGGACTTAGGAGTCAATAAGACGGGGATGTGGTCTGAGACTCTGTACTTCTAACAAGTTCCTAAACAGTGCTAATGCTGCTCCTCCGAGGACTATGGCATTAGTAGTGAGACTGAGTGTTCACTACTGAGGATCCATGGAGATTTGCATTTGGGGAGATAATCCTGTTTCCCATCCCTCCGCAGGTGGGAGTTGGGAGGCTGAGAAACCGGTAGACCTCGAGTGGTTTGACACAGAAGCCTTCTTTGGGATCCTGCTCCGGCAGTCTCTGACAGTGACAGCCAAACTCAGCCAGAACAAGGAGGAGGTAACTTGCAAGTCTTGCTTCCAACCAAGGCTGAAGAAATACATGGGGCCAGACATAGGATTCCTCTCCGGAAGAGGTGGTTATAGGACACGGAGCCTAAAGAAATCTTTGGTCAATAAGGAAGCAGAAAAGGGGAAAGTCTATGGGCAAGGAAACAGAAGACCTCAGATTAAATTTAGGACTGCTCTTATTAAACCTAGGGCCTCAGCTTAACGGTAGGGAATCTGTCAAGGCCACCTCTGGAGTCTCTTCCTAGATTTCTATCCCTGGTCCTTGGTAGCCCACCTACATGAGCACATTCATGCCAGTATGTGATGGGCACTAGAAACAAAGGCAATACACTAGAAGCCCAAGCATAAAAGGGGGCCAGGGGTTCCCTTGGGAGGTCTGCTCTGGGACTCCAGACCGTCTTTTTCCGTTCCTTCCAAAGGCTGCAGAGTCTCCCCAGCTATGGGCACTAGGGGGCACTGCAATCCCAGGAGTAAAAGGCTAGGTGGCTCCAATACAGAGGTCCCAGGCTAACTCCACCTGTCTCATAGCTCAAACTCTTCTACCTCAAACTTCTGGGTGAAGCTCGTTCCCTGAAGCAGCTGTGGGGTGCTCAGCATGGAACCACAGCCTCCACTAACCAGCACCTGCGGAGCACACAGAAGGGACAGCAAGAGGTGGGCTTTGCTCTAATCGTCCCATCTGGGACTGTGCTCAGAGTAACTCCCACACACACACATACACACAGAGGCCGGAGCGCCCTTCCTTAGCAGCACCCCCATCACACCTCTGTTCCGTCTCCCTGGGCCCAGGGGCTTTAGCTACAGCCCTCACCGCCATCCCTGGGAATCCTTCTCCCTCCTGGTACCATTGCTGAGCTACTCTTCCCCAGAATACTACGGCGTTCCCAGGGGAAGTTGAATGTCCTGTCCCAGAGGCTGTTGTCCCTGACGGCTACAGCCACTTCAGGTGAAGAGGGGGGATTGTCTCCGACCCAGGTTGCTGAGGCTGCTGCCAGGGCAGCAGAGGAAGAGGCCAGGCGGAGGGCGCACCTGGCGGCTGAGTACACAGCAAGCCTTAGCCATCAGCTGAAGGTCCTTCAGCAAGACCTCCGGGCCAGGCAGGAGCAGTGGGCCACCTTCTGCTCAGCACTGATGCAGGCTAAGCGGCTGCTGAAGGCACAGACAGGCTCCGGGCCACGGACGTCCTCCCGGGATGGGCAGAATCCTGAAGGGTGTGTACCTGGTTAAGGGTTGGGAGTAGGAAGATAGGAACTAGGGAACGTGAGCATGGATGGTAGGACGGGAGGGCCCCAGGAATGGCCACACAAAAGTGTTCCTTTCCCTCCCTAATTGCCCCTGAGCCCTGACGGACCCTATCCTGTGCCCCTGCAGTGTGATTCCCCAGATGGACACCGTGCTGGCCCACCTGTCCCAGGCCTTGCTGCAGGAGGGCCACCGCCTAAAAGCCTGGGGCTTCCTAGGCACCGGCACTGGGGCAGAGCTGCTGAGGCCAGGTGAGCCTTACTCAGCCCCTGGAAATCTAGCTGTGCCCCCAGGGTGAGAAGCCCTGCAAAACACAAGTTCTACCCCAAGTTCTACCTGCGTGCATGCAGTGGGTACAGGGGGCGGAGTGGAGCCGGCCCCACACACACAAAAAAGGGAACCTTACAAATGGGAAGAAATGAGGGGAAAACAAACAAAACCATCATAAATTGTAGCCCTGCAGCTGAGGTGGCATTTCCTGAAACTAAAAGCTTGCTAATAAAGGCTAATGGCCAGGGCTGAGAAATGTCAGACTTGGCTGCAAAATGTCCCCCAGAGGACTTGCAAGTATGCTGAGTCTGGGAATCCCTGGACCCACCGCATTGCCCCAAAAGCCGCACCATTTCCCAAGGCCCGTCCAGTCTCTGCCAGTGTGCAGTTTGGCAGTATTACAAAGGCTTGTCCCAAATGTGGACTCCTACCCTGAACTCAGCAAAAGATGAGCCCCCTGCCCTGGGGAGCACTGTATATGTGTTTTAGGGTGGAATTCTCACCAGCCAAGCCCCGCCTCTCAGCCTGCCTCATTCACCCTCAGAGCCAGGGCTCTGCCAACTGTCTGCTCTCCTACAGACTTGGCAGACCCTCGAGAGGGCGCCGATGACATCAGAATGAATCCAATCACCATGCTGCTGGTCCCCGGCCCCAACTGCGCCATGCTTGCAGCCAGTGGCCACGCAGGGCCCATACCTCCTGGCTACTTCATCCACCCTGACACTGGGCATGTCCTGCCCGAGGCTGGACACCTGGGATACGACCTGCTGAGTGCTACCTTGGTGCCTACTACTGACTCTAATACTGGTGAGACCCTTGCCCACTAATCTGCCCCCACCTCACTGTGGGCTTCAGAGATGGGGGCGGAGCTCGCTGAGCCCCTCCGGAACGAACTACCTGGGAAGAGGCTTTTGAAATCACTGGAAGCAGGCTTTTGTCCTTAGACAGTGGGGTTTGGTGACCAACAGAGCAGAAAATACTTCCTCCCGCTCCTCACTTGAATGTTCCTTATGGACATCAAGGCCCCGTGATTGCAAAGAGATGGCAAGTGAAAAAACAGGTGCCACAGCCCGTCTCCGCCATCTGCAGGTGAGGAAGGGAGCTGCTGCTGGAAGCGGTACTAACGCCTCCTCACCTCCCTGTCCAGGTAGCATCCGAACATCAGAAGCTGCCGTCCTCCCCTACGTGCCCTACCCAACTTGTTCCGACACAGCTTCTCTTCCAGCCACGGTCCTGCCCGTCCTGCAGCCACAGAGAACGTCCCAGCTGGGGGCTCTCATGACCGATCCTGTAACAGGCATCGAGGTGCCTGTGCTGGCTGTCACTCTGCACCCCCAAACGAGGCAGTGGCTCACTCTTGGAGGAACATACTGTAATCCTCTCACCAAAACACTGGCCCCCCTGGAGTTGGGAGGCCCGATGGAGGACCCAGTCACAGGCGGTGTCGCACCGATCCTTGGGGTTGGATTGGACGAAAACACAGGTCTCCTGGCAGCCCTCAGCGCCGTCCTCCTGTGCTCTCCTCCCCGCCCAGCCTGGCTTCCAGCTCCTTTCCCTGAGTCCCCATGTTCTGCTCCAAACTGCAGACCCTGCCCCATCCCCTCTTCCCACTCAGAATCTTCCCTCTGCATGTGACCCCCAACCTTGCCTCCCCTTCTCAGCCTCCCTGTCTCCCTCATTTCTACTACAGTGACTGGGGAAGAAAACGAGCAGCGAGGTAACCCACAGTCAGAGCAACGCAGGATGCCTATTCCTCTCCCGCCAGCGCCCATACTGCCTAGCGCCCCCTCCCCCCTGCTCTGTCGGTCCTGCAGTTCGCTTCGCCCTCCTGCCCTTACTCTGTACTGTCCCGCACCCATCTGTGTTCCTTTCTCACTCTGCCTTCCTGATTCCTCGCTTTCAGGTCAGGTGCGTGCACTGGTGGGTCTGCGAGATGCTGCCGGGAACCTTCTGCTGCCTGGCGACACCTTTGTGGAGCCACTGAGCGGGAAGACAGTCCGGCTCCAAGGGGCTTCCCAACAGGAGGGCCGGACATTGCCCTGTACGGGAGGGTCGCAGGCCCTGCTGGATGTCAATGTGCTGATGGCCCAGAGAAGAGTGATTGCAGTGCTCCAGCAGTGGCAGGAGAACCCGGAGTGGAGGGCACAGGGGCCCCTAGAGGCTGCCATCAAGGACATGAGGCAGGCGCTGGCCTTGAGTCTGCACCATATCCTGCAGCAGGCTCGGAGACTGGCCAGACAGCTGGAGGCAGCACGTGGCATCGAAGCCAGTGGTGGCAGGATGGGTACGTACTGATCTGGGACAAGAACTCTCGAGGCCTGAAATCCCAGACCCAGAATGAGCTGGCGCTTCCGTGCACCTCGGCTTGTATGTTCAGGGACAGGACTGCAGCTCCATTGGGCATGCCTGTGTGGCTCGGTGACTCTACGCCCCATCCCCGGGAGGACTTGGCTGTACCTGTCTTCCAGTCTCCTGCCAACTCCATTATGCCTTACACTTTGCACAAAGTATATATTCTCATTATTTCCGAGGGTCATCACACACCATAGCAGGCATTACGACAACTGTTTTATAAATGGGGACCTGAAGTTCAGAGCTAAGTGACTTGCCCAGCCTCGGTCCTCCAGCTAGCTGGCTGCAGAGCCCATCCTTAAGCCACCTAGAACCTCTCAGATCCTCGACTTCCCACTCATACACTCAGGAAAAGAGTCCAGCCAAGTCCTCCAGCTCCCCCAACAATGCTTATACAAGGAAAATCAGGAAAAGGAAATAGGAGTGGCATCTTCCTGAAGCTTATCTCTCTCTTTCTAGAAGCTTCCATCTGTCCATGGTGTAACAAAAAAAAAAAAAAAGAACTAGGGCTTGGGGTCAAAATTGACAATTGACTTGAGTTCGAAGACATGCTCTACTATCTATTAACTTTGCCCCTGGGCAAGTTGATAACCTCTCTGTCAGTGCCACATCTTTAAAATGAGAATAAAATGGGCCGCTTGATAGATACAGGTGGATCACATGAGGTATCATTTATATGGTGTCCTTCACTCAAATTCTGGTGCATAGAAGGTGCTCGAGAACATGCATTCCCTCCTCATCCCACCTTCCGGTGTGGCCTGAAAACTGTTCTCAGCTTCCCAAAAGGTCTGCTGTCACTCAGTTCTCGATTGCACCTTCCATCAGGAATCATTCTTCCCTTTCAAATTGAGAATGCTAGGTAGTGCCCAAAGGAAGCAAACACAATCTTCACAGGATAACCTGTCAGGAAAGAGATCCTCTGAGCCTGCAAAGACTTCAGGCAGCTTGGCGTAGCCTTTAACTCCTGTTCCCCTGCCTTCCCCTTCTCTGTTAGGAATAATGTGCTATCCTGGGACAGAGGTGTGGATCCCAGCCCTGTACGGGTTGGAGATCCCAGACCCTCAGGGCTCAGGACTCATGGTGCCCATCCTGGGTATGCAGCAAGATGGGAATTCTGGTAATGCCACGCCCCTGGCAGGCTCAATGGAAGATGCCGATGGTAAAGGTAGGAGGAGACGCAGAACTTCTGAAAGTTTAAGGGGGTTCGGAATGGGAGTTTGTTCTGAGAACGCAAACCCTGTGAAGCTCAGGGAGGGGCGCTGCTGGTCCATTCAGTCATTAGTCAGGGACGGGCCATTCTGAGCTTTCTTCTAGAGCTGCTGAGAGCCAAAATAAAGATGCCCAGAGATCCCCACACACCAGGGCCGCATATCATTCATCCTCCCTGAGAAAACTGAGTCCTTTCACAAAATTTAGACACTCACACCCACCCCAGCCCAGGGTCTGTGGCATCAGGAAGCCCTCTACTCTATCTCAGAGGCCCACAGGGATGGAAGAAGGTCTAAGGTCTCCTCTGGCTCCCTTCCTGCCAGGCTTCCTTCTTGCATAATTGCCCCTTCCCTTCTCACCCCAACTCTGGTTACTAAAGCTTGGTATCCCACAGGTCTTGTCCCAATCTCCATTGGGTCTCAAGCCATAGACCCCTTGACCAGGGAGCATGGTCCTGTCATTGGTGCTCAAGTGGATCCCCTTGGCAGTGTGGTGGTACCCGTGGTACAGGTGCTAGAGGCCTTGCCTCGAGGAACGAGAGACCCTGGTCTGGTACGTAGGATGAATTCACTCTACTCATGCATTCACTCAGCAACCACGTATTGAGAGTCCTCTGGGAGTCAGATGATGTGTTAGGAGTCGAGATACTAAGACAACTAGACAGGGCTCCTATCCCAAGGAAGCTAGCTGGCCATAGGCGCCAACCAAATGACTGTAGTTTAGAAGGTGTTACAGGAACTCAGAGAACGGGCAGCCCAGTCACATGAAGGAGAGCTCAGGGAAGGCTTCCCAAAGAGGTAGTGCTTAGGCTAAAACTTGAAGAGAGAGGCAGAGAAAGCCATGCCAGCCTCAGGACACCTGAAGAATTTTAAGTAGACCAGTGATCAACAACTGTTAATGTTGGAGGACTGAAATTTTGGAAATATGGAACAATACAAAAATTATTCATAAGCCCACTACATTTTTAAAGTATGGAAACGAATAAGCAAAAGTCTCCCCTTCCTTGCTATTGGCCCTCCATGCACTACCAATGTCCTCATTGTACCTTCTCTGCCAGTCTTCCCCACCAGACTCAGACACTGCTAACAGGCTGGCACATCCTTCAGACAGCTTTGTGTTTGTGTATAATCAGCGTTCTAGAAATTCCTTCTGGCAGAAGACATATGGGAGCAAGCCAGACCAGAGCAGGAAGCTCCATCAGGAGGTGACTGCAATAATTCCACCCTTGGCAGATCTCCACCAAAATAAAAATGATTCAGGGTCTTACCATACATTATGTCTAATTACAGTTTCAGAAGCCAAGGTGATTATGTAGTAAGAGATCCTTGTTAGAAGCCAAGAAACTTAAATTCGAGCTCTGACACTACTGTCTCAAAAATCAATACGAAGGAATCAGAGGAGAGACTGAGAAGTATTCCCCACCATCATATGCCTATCTACCCTGGTCTCCTAAGCAAAAGTTAGGGGCAGGAGGCACAAAGGACTCTAGCAAGGACAGGTATTAGAAGACGGGAAGGACTAGGGAGCTTGAAAGAGGTGTGTGATTGTAATGTATCTGTCTGCAGTCACGTCCTTGCTTCTCCAAGCTTAGTCATGGGTACCTAGAGGTATTTGAGAAGCTTTGGGAACCTACAGCCAGATCATGTGGGGCTGGGCATGTGTGTAGGCTTAAAAAAGCCTAAGCAATCTGGACATTATAGTGGGACCTCCTGGAGCGGGAGCTGAGAGCCCGACAGCAGTACTGGCACCACCAGGAGCAGGAGGAAGAACGCCTAGTGGAGTACCTAGGGCACCTGGGCCAGGAACTCCACACTCCAGGCAACAACATCAGGCTTCAGGTGAGGTCACAGGTCACAAGTGCCACCTCCTGGTCCCCACCTGTCTTCAAGACTGCCACAGGTTTCTCTTTGAACATTTGGAGTCCTTGTCTTTTCCCCAGCCACAGGAATAAAATCCATGTCAGGGCAGACACTCCCAAGATTCCCCAGGCCTAGGCCCCAGACACTGGACAAGCCCATGAGGTGTAGCTTTAGCAGGATGGAGCAGGAGTAGGAGAGACCAGTGTGGGGTGGCCCGGCTCAGAGTTCCTGCCTTCCCTTCATGGTTCATACCTTTATACATTCTGTCCTATGTAGCTGAAGGCTGCCAAGGAGGCCTGTGCAGCCCTGGAGAGCTGCTGCCTGCAAGAGACACAGCGGAGAGCCAGCATTCTGAGCATGCTCAGCAGCCCAGAGCGGGGCCTGCTCTCTCAAGGTGAGAAAGCATCTCCTAGATCCAGATCCCCGCAGTAGGAATCCGCTAGAACAATGCCACCACCCATAGCTGCCCACAAGTTGAGGCTGCGGGGAGGAGCCCCTCTCACCCTCAAATGCACTCATCTCTCCCAAGCTCCTGACCAGGCCCAAGCTCATACCTGGCAGGTCCAGTGGCTCCAATTCACTGTCTTTTCTTCCCCTGACCCCTGATGGCAGCCATGACCGTGTGCCCTTTTCCTCCACACTCTGCAGCAGACAGAGAAGAGTGGGAAGAGGAGGCACAGGTGGCGCTGGGCATGCAGAAGGTCCTGCAGAGTTTAGAGCAAGCAGTGGAAAAGCTCAGGCAAGCGTCTCTCAGGCTACAGGGCCAGGAGGAGGAGATGCGGCTGCAGCAGGGTAGGAATCAGAACCCACAAGTCTGGAACTGGCCCAGGAAGGTAAGCTTGAAGAGGAGACGGGAACTCTATGAGGTGAACACACTATCCCCTATCGCTATGTTGTTTTTCAGAGCCATGTAATATTCAGGGTAGATGGGCCCAGGGTAGGTGGGCCCAAAGAAGGGAAAAGAGGTTAACAGGATAGGAGGAGGCAAGACAAGGACATTCCATTTTAACTTGGGTATTATGTTTCCTGTGTTCTAGGTAGTCCAGCATCTTTCTGATGAGTTTCAGAAGATGGTGAGAGACAGACAGAAGGTCCTGGACAGGGCCCGTGGTCAGTTACAGTTCCAACGGGAGCTGAGCCGTCTCCAGCTTTTACACACGCAGGTACTGACCTCTGGACTTGGTCAGTAAGATCTTAATTTCTATATTTGATGGGGACTTCAAGAGAAACTCCAAAAGCAGCCTTATGGGGTAGGGCAACCAAGCATGGAATTCAGTTCTGATTATTTCATCCTAGATTATTGCCTCGGGAATCCCTGTATGTTTGGAGAATTATCCTGGAGACAGATTCTATGGAAGAGTCACTACTTCTTTCAGGGACCAGGCTGCTGCCTGCCCCATGTTAATCCCATTTCTGAAAAACCTCACTGCAGTGCTTGAAGAACATCAAGAACACAGCAGAGGGCTGGAGGATCAAAAGCTAAGAGCAGGTGAGGCTGGTCATTCATCTAGCATTCAATTCTGCCACCAATCCTTGCAGTCTGACCATTCCCAATACAATTAGAGCTTTGGACACCACAGAAGCAGGCTACAGTAGGTTCTTTGGGAAAGAAATAGAGAAACGCAATGTATTAGTAATCTATCGCTGCATAACAAATCACCCCAAATTTTCATGGTTTAAACTGACTCACAGTTTCTGTTGCTTATGAATCTGGGTGCAGATTACATGGGTATCTCTGGCCCAAAGTATCACACAGGCTGGGATCAAGGTATTAGCCAGGGTTACAGTCATCTCAAGATTTGTCTGGGGAAGGATTTACTTCAAGCTCACGCTTGTGGTGGTTGGCAGTCCTCAAGTCCTAGCTGGCTGATGGCCAAAGACATCAACATCTTACCACGTGGAGTTCACAGGACACACAACACAGTAGCTGGCATCCCTCAGAGCAAGTGAGTGAGCGAGTGAGAATGTGCAAGATGGAAGTCACAGGCTTTTTGTGTCATAATCTCAGAAGTGATACCTCAGCACTTCTGCCATATTCCATTCCCTTGAAATAAATCGAAACCTCCAACCATCACTCAGACCAGGGAGATGATACAAGAGTATTAGACACAGAAAATGGAGGATCGTGAAGGCCATCTTAGAAGCTGCGTGTCACACCTGGTGCTGTATCTGATTCTTTTTAGCTTTGGCCACATTTCTGTGCCTCCACTGCACTGTCATATTCCTCTCTGTTGGACACAGATAAAGTTGACACCATCTGGACCTCACCATTCTCTATCCTGAAGAAAATGGACCTCTCTTCCCAAGTCCAAAAGGGAGGAGCTAAACTGCAAGAGCCAGGGTATCACACATGAAGTAATCCCCCTTCCCCAACAGCCCCTTAGAGTTACCATGGAGCCCTGAAGGTGTGTGCTAGTATAACCCCCAAGAACTAGGAATACCAGAATCCGGCCTTACTGATAACTGATTTCTCCATATCAGCATCCTAAGATTCCCAGTAGATTTTCCCACATAAAGAATAACAAACAGGAATCAAAGCATCACTATAATTATAGCTTGGCCAATTTCCAAATGGGAATTCCTAAAGTTCCCCTATCTTTCCAACACTGAATCTAACTTGGGATCTTACACTGACTCTAACTTGGGATCATTACCCCATACCAATGAGCTACCTGTCAAAAGCAGTCAATGGAAAAGCGTAAGACACAGGAAAAAAATAACAAGGGGAACAAAGGAAGAAAAGACTTTGCTGGCCAAAGAGACTCCCGATCACTTTATCATGACTACTTCTTAGAATTAGAAGTCAAAACAGAAAGTAGCTGGTCTGCTCTGATGAGTCAGGCCTGTTTCAACTCACCTATGTCCCAGGTAGAAGAGAAGGAACAGAAGATATGTGTGGGCCTTTCCAAAGACCATGATGCCAGCCACTGGCAAGCACAGTTCCATGAATATTTGTGAACTTGAGCAGAGATGAGCAAACTATGGTCCACAGGCTAATTCCAGCCTGCTACCTGTTTTTGTACAGTGCATGAGCTAAGAATGATTTTACTTTTTAAGTGATTAGGAGAGGTGTCAAAAGAAGAATTTATGCATGCTTTACAATATGTCATGCACTATACTAAATCTTTCGATATATTAATTCATTTCATCTTTATAACCAGCCGGTGAGGTGGATACTACTATTCATTTTACAGATGAGGAAATTGAAGCTTCTGAATAGGTCAAGTAAGTAGTCAAAGATCACACTGCTAATGTATAGTTCAGTTGGAATTCAATCTCAGGGAGACTTTCCCCAGCAACTGTGCTCTTCACCTACTTCTCCGTATAAAATCTATCAAATACTACAAGGGCAGTGCCAAAAGAGAGATGCAGGTAGCATATTCTGTTGCGTTCCCAGGAGGCCAAATCATCATACCAGAAAAGCAAGGAAAAACTTTCCAGGGGAATGAGTCCCCACTTCTACCATGATAATTGAGGACACTCACTTTGAACCCCAATTTTGGCTCCCTAAACCACTTGTCCCTTTACAGAAAAAGGTTGCTGATTCTGGAACTTGACTGATCTTATGATTAATTCCTCCTCCCTTTGATGAGAACTAAGAGAACAAGCAGAGATGGGCTCACTTTTAAGGGTTCCCATGTCTACTTTGGCCTTCTTACAATTATATTGGCTTTATAATTCTGAAAGCAAGTTCATGTACATTGAGTTTATACTTAGTAAGCCTAGCTCTAATTTTATAGGATAGTGAAATTATACACATATGAAGCAACGCTCAAAAAAGTGAAGTGCCTTTCTCAGGGTCTCTGGCTATTAGTTAAGTGCTCTTTCCTGTATATTGTTACCTAAGCCATTTTTCATTGTCCTCCCAAAAATACAAACACAATAAAAATGTCTAAATCTCTATTTAGAATTGTCAAAGGTCCATTAAAGACATGTTTGTAAGGAAATAAGATGTTTTAAACAACCAAAATTTACTTAGCGATTACTATGTACCAGACACTGTTCTGAGCGCATACTTGTAAAAACAAAACAAAAAGTCCTCTCTGAAATAGTAGAAGAAAATCTTCTAACCTGCTGCCATCTTCTCTGGGCCTTCCTTTTGGCTTCTCTGTTCTTACTGAGGAGACTCAATCACTTGCCCATGAAGATAGCCACAAAGTCTGAGGCACAGTAGATATATAGCATGGGAGGATATATGGATAGATGATAGATGGGTAGATGGATGGGTAATTTTGAACTATGTTGTAGAAGTAGTAGTTGTAATAGAATAATAGTACTAGTTGTTGTTGTTATTGTTGTCATATCGTTACCATCCAGAATATCAGTGAAATGATTACTGGCTTCTTTTGATTTCTGCAGACACAAAAAGCTTTTTGCAGGATCTTCTAAAACCTCAAACAATGCAGAAGAAAGAGCTAATAATTGTGCCAACCACAGACCTTTCTGCCAGGGAGTTTGTGGTTTACCAGTACGGCCTCTCTGTCCTGCATCTCCTCATCCCCCAGCTTCATGTAAGTCTGGCTTCTGGTCTCCAGGGAGCAGTCACCAGGGTAGCTGAGGACGTCAGAGTGGCCAGGAGGAAGTCCTGAGGGAATGGGTCTTCCCAAGGATGAAGCACCTAGGGCAGTGAACGGTCAAGTCACTAAAATGAATTAAGTACTATCTAGATGCCAGAATGTGTAAATTGACTTAGAAAGGTAGTAGATTAATAATCATGGCTAGCATCAGTATTAAATATATAGTTAAACCCCCTTTCCATTTTTCCACAGTGTGCATGGAATCTATTTAGGCTGTTATGATTTAAATTAATGCCTCCATGCATTTAATTCCCATTAATTTGGTCAATGCTATGTAGCTGAGGCACACAGGAGAGTTATTTCAGAAATGGGTTGGTTTTTGCTTTTGTTTGCCGTTCCTTTCAGGCTCCAGAAATCACTCTGCAGATTGCTTCTCATCTCCCCACCACAGAAGCCTCAGGCAATGCCTTCCAAGATTCCTTCTTCTATCAGGTGCTGCAAATACATTCCCAGATGTGGGTTTTTAAATCCTAGAGCCTAGTAAAGATAAGCAGAAGCAAAAGCAGCATGTTTCTCTCTCAAATCCTGATGTATTTTAGGCTTCCTTGGGAATAATTAACTAAAGCATAATAAATGACAATTGAGTAAGAGCTTTCTCTCATCAGTAAAGTATGCCCTGGCTTGTGCTTAGAGCAGCATAATCGCTCTGTGCCCATTCATGGATCTTTGCCATCAAACCCTGTGCTTCCAAACCGGTCTTTCCCGTAAGTCACGGATCTAGCATCAGGAAATCTTGCACAATCGGCATCTTCCTATTTTAAGAAAGGATGTAAACTGTTCCTGTCACTAGTTCCTCTGTGTCAATTGGAAGCACCTTCTGGTAATTCTAAGCTGGGGTATATAGAATGTAAACACTGGTGACGTTCTACTGACAAATGATCCTGAGGAAGAAATATCCGTCAATGTCAGAGAACCAGAAAATGGTTTATATTCACTTGACTAGTAGATTGTTAGTGAATTTAATAAAACCAAAAAAGAAACACTTACGCATAGTAATCTCCAGGCATTCTTTCACTTGAGCTTTAAAGAACTCTATGAATAGGCAAGAATTTAATCCCATTTTACAGATAGGGAGACCAACCCAGGATGCACTGAGTAATGTGTGCCAGACACTCAGAAAGGTGCCTTACAAGTATTATCTTATTTACAACCTCCAGGTAACAAGTTACCCCCATGTTATAAGTTGGAGAATTGAGGCCTAGAGAAGCTAAGCAACTTGCCCCAAAACACAGCACTCGCAAGAGTTGAGACCCAGCTCCAAGTGTATTGGACACAAAAGTCGTTCTCCTAACCCCCAGCACATTCAAGGGACATATCAGGTTGTCCAGTCTTCTAAGGCTCTCCAGTGCTAACCTGTGTCTCCTTAAAGGAATTCACAAGGAAGTTATTTCAAACCAAGTGCAAGATAGGTGGGATTTGAGAATTTGATTTCAATAAAACCCTGAGAGTCCTGTAAGCCAGGGATTTTCAAACTGTCCTTCTTGAGCCTCCCGCATCAACTATCTGGGAACATGGGTGAAATGGAAATGCCCGGGCCCCGCCCAAACCCCACGGAACCAGAAATCCTAGGAGAGGCACCAACAGTAAAATCACCCCCTTGTAATTCTTTTTTACATTACAGTTTTAAAACCATTGCTTGAGGGAACAGTGATTGAAGGGCAGTGACAAGAGACAGATACCAAAGGAACCTCACTTTGAATTTCAAATAGATTGTTTTCTGTAAAATGGAGGTAGCCTGGAAATCTTGAGGGACAGGAATAAAATGGCATATTCAAGAGAGTTGAACTAGAACAATAATTTTTCCTGACCTCTGACTCTTCCCTTCAGTAAATTTCCATTAGGCCCAGGGAGTCTTACTTTAGACTATATAAACCGAGAAGAAGGAAGAGGCAGTGGAAATGTCCCTGAAGCTGACATTTATGTGCTTGGGTATCGTCCCCACACAGAGTGCTGAAAATACACTGTTTGTTGATAGAGAGTGTTTGGCGTCTGTGGGAAGCTTTGTTCTCTTATTGATCCACTGCCTGGCCCACATTGCTGCTGGAGACCTCGGCCAGGACTCCAACCCCACCTTTCTGAGATCATTTTATGAGGTATTTATAATATACACAGGCCTTTTTCCTTCTCTTTCTCTGTGACCCAGACCCCATTCCTCAGGATTATAAATGCTTTAGGCTGGGTAACATTTCAAATCTGAGTTCCATTTGTGGCCTTCGGTTCCTACTGCCAGGCCAGGAAGAGGGTTTTCTTAGTCAAATTTTCTATAACAGCACATCACAAAATACCTACACTGGTCTACTATGGTGCACACATGTGATAAAAAGGGTGTGCCACTTCTTGACAGTGGTCCTCCTGTAAGAATAGCATCTCAGATTCCTATGGATATTTGTCAATCCATGAACCTCACCAGAACTGCTAATGAGAAGGCAAGTGAAGACGATAAAGCTCAAGCCCCATTTTCCTTTCAACTATTATTTTAAAGCTTGAATAGCCACTGGCTAAATGTCTTACTGATTTCTCCCTTCCTTTTCTTGACCAGGGACTAAAGGCCTATTTCAGGGACGCATTCTCTACCACGCTGCAAATGTCAGCAGTTTCCTGGGATAGCAAGCTTGACCAAAGCATAAGTGCTATTCTGCTGGCAGAGCACCCCATTTCTGAAAGAGATAAAGATATTCTCTCTAAACTCATTGAAAGGAAGCATGAGTGTCATTTAGAGCCAGAGTCATCAGAAGAGGTAATCAACTTCATCTTATATATCATTTATTCTCGGTTAAAATGGATTTGTTCACAAAGACAACGCTTCAGTGTATGACCTATTCAGATATTTCTGGTCTCCCTACGTGGCATACTGCCTTGACATTTAGCCTGCTTCCCAAACTATATATGATAATGTTTTTTTGTGCAGGTTTTTTTGTTTTGTTTTGTTTTTTGTCTTTTTGAGACAGCGTCTTGCTCTGCACTTCTGGCTGGCGAACTCACTTTGTAGCCGAAGCTGGCCTCAAACTCACAGTGATCCTCCTGCCTCAGCCTCCCAAGTACTGGGATTACAGGTGTGAGCCACCACGCCTGGCTGGATGATGATGTTTTTAAAATCTTGTATTCTACAGGGTAGATAGTGGTTGCATGGACCACTGAGTTATAGGGATTGCAAAGACAGGTCTATATGTCATTTCATGTCTTAATAACATACTGTAAACAAGTAAGCAGAATTCCATCTGTAAAACTCATTGTGACCCAGAGACTAAATTTAGATGCCAAAGTGATAGCACATTTACCCAAACTTATAATATGCTATTTTTGATGCAAGCTTGATGATGGTCTTCTTTCTTTTTCTTTTTATTGAATTGGTACCTTTTAGATAGACATAGTGATAACATTGATCATAGGGAATTTGTACCTGTCCATGGTACATCTTGCTTCTTTTTTTCCCCATTCCCCTCCCCTCCTTTTCTTCTTAATAGTGTTATTTAAAGCACTTCTATGAAAATATTATCATCTAAGCCTTTTGGCTATTAAAAATAAAAGATCTTTGAGATGCAAGATAGCTGAATAGAGGCACCCAGCATTTACTTCTTAAGTCATAGATAACTACAAAGCTGGAATGTTAGTCATCTGCCAATTACCATCAATGAATAAAGAAGTCTCACTTTGTTTTAAAAGTAGGAACATATACCATATTCTTAGGTCCACATTTTGGCTAAATAGATCCAAGAATACTCAAAGGAAATAAGAGCAAGCCTACTAACTCCGTCTCCATACTCTCTACAGTATATTAAGAGAAACAAAGATCTTCTCCTTTTCACCAATATGGAACATTTCCTGAAAAGCATCCTTGCTTCAGAACAACAAATTCTAAAATTATCAAGAGATCAGTTTGGGAGTGAAGACAAGGTAAGATGCCTGGATGGATGATGCAGTCTTAAGATTATACTTCATTATGTGCCTTGAAACTGATTTGTGTATGATCGGAGCCATGTTTATAATTAAACATGACAACAGAAAAAAAGAAGTGGTGATAATGGGTGGTATGAATAAGTTACAGGATCAGTTATTTTATTTAGGAAACTTCCCAGTACCCACAGATGGTGGCTCTTAAATTTCAGAGTTATAAAGGACCCCAGAGATCATAAAGTTCATCCTTCCTCCTTTAGGTAGGTAAAATATTAATGATAGAAAGAAAGAACTGAGGCCCAGACTTGCCCCCATTTACCCAACTAGAAAACAAAAAGCAGCTAGAATGTGGGTCCACTGCCACCTCATTCACACTTCTTCCATTATCCCACAATAGTACCTACTGCTTATTTACAAAAGGGTTGTTTTTAATGATAGGTATTTAAAAAGTTATATGTTTAAAAGCTCATAGATGTTTCCTTTCAAGCCACCGACATCAATATTTTGTAACACTAGCAAATGTTGGAATATTAGCAAAGACAGAACTCTCAAAGTCTTTGTTTTCCTCATACAGCACGGTGAACGGTCTTAAACACTGAGATCAAGACCAGAAATTGGCAACTGAAAGAGATAACTGAGCACTGACTGCGGCTCTGGCCTCTAGTCCACTTCATTCAAAATCATCACCATGGACAGGATAAAATTTAATTTTCAAACTTTATTAAAGAATACTACATCTTTAAAAGTGAGCAGATTGTAAATGTACCACCTAATTGAATTTTCCAATGTGTCCAATCCCATGTAACCCAAACCAAGAAATAAACAACTTCGAGAAGAACTTCGACTTTAAACGTCACTGTTTTTGTTTATTCAATGAATAGAAATACAATCATAAAAGCATGACCGGCTTCTTTTGCTCAACTTTGTGAGATTAATCCATACTGCTGCATGTGTAGTGTGATTTTCTTCTGCACTGTGCTTTACCAGGTGGTGATACCCCAATTCAGTTATTCACTCTACTGTTGATGCATATGTGGATATTTTCTGCAGGTATTTTCCAGTATGGGATTATTACACTTAGTTTTACACATTTCCGGTGACCATATGGAATCATACCTAGTTAGGCATGTTCTTAGGTCTAGAAATTCTGGGTTTTAGGGCTTGAATATATTCAGCTTTAGTAGCTACTACCAACTAGAATTCCAAAGTGATTGTATAATTGTATAGTAACCCTAAGTAAGGAAGAGGGCTTCTGGTTGTTTCTTCTCTGCATCAACACTTACTGTTTTATATCTTTTATATTTTATCCATTCTTCTGGGTGTGTGGTGTATCACTTCATTTTAATTCGCATTTCCCAATGAGAAGTGAAACTTGGCATCATTCATATATTTATACACCATTTGAGTATCTCCCTTTGTAAACTGCCTATTTAAGTCTTTTACCCATAGTCTATTGAATTGCCATTTTTACTGATTCTTAAGAATAACTACTTTCCCTTATTTTGAGACTTAATAAAAATAACCACATAATCTTTCTTTTTCTGTTTGACTTTTAGATCTAGAAACAAAGTGGTGATCCCACTTTAGCCTGCATGATTAAAAGGTTAAATGTATCAATACATGGGATGAAGCAAAATAATTACTTGGAAATGTCTATTACTCATGTATAAGTCACATAAATCTATTTTATAGCTTTGGATATATATGTAACTCATAGGAGCTAACGTTTGCAAGAGAAGATATGGAACCTGGTAATATTTTCACTGTGACTGGAGGGGACTATTAGACCTCATATTTTATTAAAATACCTATTAAAGCTATTGACGACTGACCTCCTTCTGAAAACGTAAAATGTGTATGATCAGCCTAGCTTATCTAAAATATTACTGAATCAGATGAAGTAGATGGATATTATTTGTGGATCTAGAATGACAGTAGTTAAAATACATATAAGCCATGTGAGATAGACAAAATTTTCTTTGGAGGCCCTGGTTAGAATACCTCAAATGGATAAGAAGTCATCTGAAACTGCAGTTTTGGGGATGAGTTGAACCATGAATTTAATGTAAAAAAAAAAAAATTAAACACAAACGCCAAATCAAAATCTTGTCAGGTTATAATTCCAGTGCCTGCCATTCAAGCTTCTCATATGGTCATGAGCTCTTTTTTGTGCTTCAGTATAAATAAGAGAAAGCTTTTTATTCCTTGACTATAACAACTGTTAATAAGTCTCCTAACCAAAGGAAGGCTAGTAAAGAATTAAAACTATACAAATATTATTTGGGTAACTAATAGCTAATACCTAATCAGTGAATTCAGTATTTACCTCCTATTCAGTTTGCCGATCTTTTGCTACAATTAAGAGATACCTATACAGGCCGGGCGTGGTGGCGCATGCCTGTAATCCCAGCACTCAGGAGGCTGAGGCAGGAGAATCGTTGTGAGTTCAAAACCAGCCTGGGCTACAAAGTGAGCTCAAAGCCAGCCTGAACTGCATAGTGAGACCCTGTCTCAAAAAAAAGGACAAAAAAAAAGTAAATTAAAAAAAGACAAGAAAAAAATGTAAATCAAGAGATACCTATCATGGCCAAGAATTTAGCACAATATTCAACCAATTGTAACACTAATGGTAAATTAGAGAAAATAAGTTAAGATGAAAACACTTGAGACAACATTGCAAGAGTTACAACTAAAATTTAACAAAGATTTTTAAATCAAGCCATAAATGACAGCTGCCTAACATAAACACTACATTTAACTCCTCCATTTCTACCACCTTACAAGGACATTGAATTCTGATTTCTTTGTTGCTAAAGGTTGGTCACTTAGTTCAGTTCAATTTAAATAGTTATACAAAGTCTACCAAAAAATGCATACACACTTCAGGAAAAGAAAGATAGTACAGTGTTTTTTCAACAGATGATATTATTACCTTTGTATTGGGGACCCGAGAGGGTGTTGTATATTGCAGAAAACCCCCTACACTGCTCACCCTTTGAGAAGAAATTGAAAATGCATCTGCAGTAATCTCAATAACCATGGTTACCAAGCAGCAATTCACAGTGCTAAGAAATGTCTGGAAGCTATTGGTCACCACTCTGAGTCACTTTGTAATTGTAGAGGCCAAAGGTAACATGTATTAATCTCAAGACGTCTCAAGTTTAGCATTAAAATATTTATACAAGTTTTTTTTGTCCTAAACTATATATACATTTTTTTGGCAGACTCTATTAACCACCGGCAAAGTACCAAGTATGTCAGCCTTACAAATCACCTGATTAGTTACCTTTTCAGTTAGAAGCACCTGCAGCTCTCACAGCACAGGTACCAATAAAATGGTAGTTACCATAATAGTGAGCTCTGAGGTAGTTCTCCTGTTTCCTCATCTTTGAGGAAGTACCTTGTATGAACTGGAAGTTCTTAAACGAAGCACACCTCACTAATACACAACAACGACACAAGCTGAAAGACTAATTGAGGAGATCTTCATTTGATTTCATTAATACTGGGTGTGAATCCTCAAAGACTTTTTTAGCTGCTCACATAAATTATGAAATATATTTCCCAGAAAGCAAAGATTAATTAACCAGACACACCAGACTATATAGAATAGTTAGGCCAAGAGTCCAAGGCCTCTGGGAGAGGCAGCAAAGAAAAATAAGTGCAGAAATCAAAGATCTTTCTTCTATATTCCTTATTCTTGGCTGACCAAAGCATCTACCAGAACATGAGCCTATTAATTTCCTGGCTGACCCTTTGGGCCCTCCATCCAATTTCCATTAATGCTCTAACAGCTGCAAGCTTTTAGTAAGCGCATGCTTCTTAATGGCAGTGCTACAAGTTCAACGCAAGGATCATGTTCTCTTCCCACTGCACTATATGTATTTACTCCTGAATCAAATCAATAGCAAATTTCTTTATAAATATTTAAGATACTAGTCATCTTTGAGGAAGTACCTTGTATGCAAACACAAAGATGCACAAGTACAGCCTATTGACCACAAAAAGGGTAAGAACACCCAATAGATATAGAAATCATATTTTACCCTCTATCTACAAAAAAATTACTTTTGCAAAAATTTAATTGAAGAATCATTTTCAATTTCAAAAGTGGTATATGGCTTCTACTCACTCTTCCCTAGTCCTCCCACAAAGTTATAAATAAATCCTTGACCATTATATATAAAACAGAAGTAGACCCACAGGAAGCCTTTCCAACACTTGGTCCTTATGATTATAAGCAGAAAAAAAGAACTTTAATTAAAGTCTCACACCTCATACAAAATTTTTTAAATGTAAAAAAAAAATGTTTTAAATTAACTTAAAAATGCATGGAACTTAAGCATAAAACATAAACCTAGTAAAACTCCAAGGGGAGAAAACACAATCTTCAGGATCTAGGGCTAGGTAAAGTGATCTTAAACTCAATATCAAATCACATGAAAGAAAACAGTAATGAACTGAACTTCAAAAGTAAAACTTTTGCTCTGTGACTCTATTAAGAGTATATTAAAAAGAAAAGAGGATAAAAAGATAAGCTAAAAATAGAAAAAAATATTTTCAAACCATACCTCTAACACAGGACCAGAATACTGTATAGATAGACAAAGAACTCAAAACTCAATTAAAAACAATTATAAAATGACCTGAAGTTATAGAGGATATACAGATGCCAGATAAACATACAAAAAGATGTTCAACACCGCTAGCCATCGGGGGTATGAATATTAAAACCACAATGAGATATCAAAGGTGGTGCCATGGTGGCCGAGTAAGCACCTCCAACCAACTATATCCCATGTGAGCAGCAATTCACACTCTGATCTGCCTTTACAAGATGTGGGGAGCCAGGTGGGAGACTGAGTTTTAGTATAAGGAGAGACCCTTCGAAGAAGCTAGCAGGGAGTCTGCATCACCCTTTCCCCAAAACACAGAGCAGCACAGTGTGGCCAGACAACCGCTCCCTCTTAGTGGGTGTAGAGAGAACAAAATCCAGGCAGTAGGCCTGAAATCCAACATGGGGCCCACCACAGTGGAAACTAGTGCTGAGCAGCACTCCAGCTCACGCCCCCTGGCCCAGCACCAGCAGACCAAGCCTGCTCTCCCACTCCTCCCGCAACCCTTGGGAGTGCAGCCTACATTATTCCACCCACTGGGGAATGGCGCTGGAAAGTGAGCACAGGACTAGACACTGCAGAGCACAGACAATTACAATAGTCATAGAAAGCAGGGAACTAAGCACACCGCATCTACTATTCTGTCTCTGAAGGTTAACCCGGAAACAAGCACTGTAGTTGTGGTAAGCTAGAGGCTCCTGCCTAGCCTTACTCACAGCACAAACACCTGAGCTATTTACCGCCACAAGATCCTTTCAGCCTTTTAAGGGACCAGAGCCTAGTTCAGAGGGCTGCTGAATTTTCACACCATGAAATTGACCCCAGAGAAAGAGCTCAACCCATACTGTGTGCACCTTCACCCAGGTTCTTGCTGCATGGAGCCAGCTTAAGGCCTCACCACCCAGGATCCTGTGAAGCAGTACGGTAGCTGCCTGAATGGCTCCACAAACCTACCCCTGTGAACCAGTCAGATCGCCCTTCCCACCTTCCTATCACCCCAGGAAGAATCTGGCCAGCCAACATTGAGCAGCTTATCCTTTAGAGGTCCCCAGAAGTCAGGGGGCCCCAGGCTCCTGTTGTCCCAGGAGTAGCCAGAAGGCCCAGCCCACACAACATACGCTTAGCTGCATAACACAGCTGCCCTGAGCAACTAAGCCCAGAGGACGGCCCTGGGAAACAACATAGCAAGCTTTCCTGCGTGGTGTGGCCCATTGATGCCCCCAGCAAGCAACCTGGCAGCCCACCCATCCTCCTGTGGCTCCAAGGAGCTGTTGAGCAGCCCATTCACAGAAGCCCAGCACTGCCCACATTCCCAGCTCTGAAAAGCAGCTGAGCAGACCTCCCTAAACATCCCACAAAGCAGTGTGTGCAGCCCTCAGATACTGAGAGGTATCTGGACACATTAGTATAGCATAGCCCCCAAGTGGTCCTCAGTCAATGACATCTCCCTACCAACCATGCTACTGAGTCATAGCCACCTGGGCCTACCTGGGTAACCTTACTTTCACATAACTTTCAGAAATTGACAGGCATTCACCTTTGCAGCCAGGTGCACCAGCCCCAGAGTTATCAGTGAATGTTCCCTGCCTAAGGGAGCTGCATCCTTGCTGGTGGTGCAATCCCATTACCCCTGAAATCTAAGTCGCCAAGACATCCACAGATATTATCAACACTAACTACAGCTGAAGAAGCTGTATAGATACTACACTAAAGAACCCACTTGGATGGAACCAAAGCCAATGCAGTGTATCCAACCAACACCTTAGGACACATCACTAATAGAAAGTCTTTTACCATTAAGTTATCCTACAAAATTGGTAGAAGCAACTGACCTACCAGATGCATAAAAATCAACAGAGAAACAAGAAGCATGAGAAAACAGAGTCAGTCATGATACCTCTAAAGGAACACAGTAATTCTAGCCACAGATCACAAGAAAAAGGAAAGCAACAAATGGCCTGACAAAGAAGTTTAAATACGCAACAAAACTATTTTTCAGAAGTAAAGGATAAATAAAGACCTTTCATGATAAGCAAACACTGAAGAAATTCATCACCACAGGATGGTCTTACAAGAAATGACTAAGGGAGTCTCATGTTAGAAGAGAAAGGATGATAACTATATATTGCAAATAGAAAAAAAAAAGGCCAATGTATAAAACCCAACAGCAGAATAGATATGCAAAAGAGAAAAAAGAGAATCAAACCTTATCAGTACAGGAAAGTACCAGTCCACAATGATGAACAAGAAAAGAACAAAGGAGTAAGAAATATACAAAACAACCAGGAAAATAAAACCCCAAAATGGCAGGAGTATGCTTATACTTATCAATAATTAAATTGAATGTAAATGGATTAAATTCTGCAAATAAAAGATACAGACTGGCTAAACAGAGTTTAAAAATAAAGCCCAACAATACTCTGCCTACCAGAGACTCAGTTCAACAGTAGATGCAAGCAGATTGAAAGGGGAAGGTATGAAAAAAGATACACCATGCCAGTGAAAAACCAAAGCAAACAAGAGTAGCTATCTATTAGATAAAACATTAAAAAACAATTCAAAAACAAAATTCAGAAACATAAAAAGAGACAAAGAAGATCACTATATAATACAGGGATCCATATATAGACAGACAGATAGATAGATAGATTCATTCATTCATTTTTTCATTCCAATGTTGGTATATCCAATTATATAAAGCAGGCATTATTAGCCCCAAAGGGAGAGATAGATTCTAATACAATAATAGAGGCTTCAATACCCCACTTTCATCAATGAACAGGTCATCTAGACTACTATCCAACAAATAATTAACCAAAAAAAAACATTGGAATTAAGTTATACTATAGACCAAGTAGACTTTATGTACATTTACAAAACATTTAACCCAACAGCTATAAAATTCTTCCTACCAGCACATGGGATATTCTCCAGGATAGATCACATGTTAGGCCACAAAATAAGTCTCAGCAAAACAAATTTTTTTTGGTTTTTTGAGACAAGGTTTTGCTAAGTACTTCAGGCTGGCCTTGAACTCACTATATAATCCAACCTGGTCTCCATCTTGTGGTGATCCTCCTGCCTCAGCCTCCAAAGTGCTGAGATTATAGGCATACACCATCACACCCAGCTCAGCATATTTTTCTTTAAAAAAAGAAATCATAGTACGTATATTCTCTGATCACAATGAAATAAAACTAGAAAACAACAAGAGATTTTACTACACACCCATCAGAAGGGCTAAGACAAAAATAGTAACAGAAGAGGCTGGCAAGAATGTAGAGAAACTGGTTCAATCATATGCTGCTGACAGAAATATAAAACAGAACATCTACTCCAAAATATTTAGATTGCTTCTTAAACTAGGCATGCAGCTACCAAATGGCCCATTAATTATGTGCTTAGGCATTTATCTCAGAGAAAGAACTTATGTTCACCCATCATACACACAAATGTTTATAGCAGCTAGATTCATACTATCCAGAAACAATCCAGTCGTTCAACAAGTAAATGATTAAACAAACTACGCTATATCCATACAATAAGGAATAAACTACTGATACATGTTGACAAAAATAAAAGCTTTGAGACAATCAGTTTTCTTTATAAATTTAAGATGAAAGGGAATGAGGATGTAGTTCAGTGGTACAAAACTTCCCTAGCATGCGTCAGGCCCTCCTCTCTGGGGAGGGGAGGAGTTGAAAACCATTAGATAAGTAATAGATATTATTAAGGACAGAAAAAATGATCCTGCATGAATACAGCTGGTATCCATGGAAAGAAAGGATTCAAAGATGAGACTACTAAATCTCACTCAAAAAGATAAATCTACAGGGGGCCGGGGATTTAGCTCAGCGGCAAAGCACCTGCCTGGCAAGTGCAAGGTCGTGAGTTCAATTCCTGGTACCGGAAGAAAGCCGGGGGGGAGGGGCGGGGGGGAGATATATCTACAGATCAGAAAGCCATAGTGTTTCAAGAAAAATGATACAGAATGATCAACTCCATTTTAAGTGTAAGGAATGAATTTTTCACACTAGCAAAAAAGAGGTCACCTAAAAAAGTAAGTGCACGTTGTTGGTATAAGTGTCAGAGAGTTCAAGAAATCAAACTGGCCACTGATCTTTCCACGGCAACATATAATGCCAGAAAGATTAGTGTGATACATGAAATGAAAAGGCAAAGAAAACATGGCCTCAAGTTATATTTCAAATGAATTCACAGAATTTAACATCTATAAGCTATTTGTGGAAAAGTTTATTAATAAAATCCAGCTAAACAAAGATGAAACAAAACACACCTCACATATTGATGAGCATTTAATCCACTTAAATATAGAACTATAAACAAAATCTATTTAGGTTTAGGATAGAACATAAATTTTAAAACTGGACATTAAAAATAACATGGGACAAAGGGACAAAAAATTAAGGATGCTAATTTCTATAGTTGGCATGGCAACAAATAATATACATAAAATGAAGGGGAGGTTTAAGGACTGTTCCAGTTGCCTGATGATTTTCTTTTTCCATTCTAGAGAATACTTAAAATTTTTTGTGGTAGAAAAGCTACTGGACATTATAGTACACTTTAGTTTTTTTTTTCTAAGATCAAATAGAATTAAATTCAAATATTAACTACTACCTCTAGTACGAGATTCTTATCAAATTGCTTGTCTGTATATGTATTTCTACATCGGTACCTATATACAAAAAATGGAAAGATTTGTTAATAATGATCAGCTTTAGCTGGATGGTAGATATTTTTATTTTCTTAGTGGTATGTTGTCCTATTTTGCTTCAATTCATTATAAGTAAGTATCATTTTTATAAATCTCATAAATTTTTAAAGACATAAAGAATGGAATTCTGTATCTTAAAAGAGTAATTCTTAAGCTCTTACTGAACATGTAAAATAGAACAACTACAGCAAGAAATAAAGTTGAAGCCAGAACACTGTGTTATCAAAGCACTCTCTAAACAATTGTTCATGAAGAAACACAAATTTTAAAACTTCCTAGCAACAATCCATCAATACAGTATTAAAAACACAGTATGTTTATTTAAATTGTTACTCTTCATAATTCATTGAATTTTGTCACAGGTTAATACCTTCATTCTGTTACCTTACTGGGTACATTAAGTGTTAACATAAAATTTCGTTAAAAAATTAAATGAAAATTAAAAGTACAGCTACGAGTAGAGTCTTAATCTATGAGAGAGGATTCACCATTGTGCACTATGATCCCCAATGTGGCTAATTTTTTCTATTTCATGGGCCGCTCAACAGCCTCAGCCTCGTTTTCATTTTAGGGAAGACAAAGCCTGACCTTTAAGCTCTCTCACTGCAACTTTGCCTCTGTATTATCGGTTTGAGTTGATCCAGTGGTACCTGTCCACGCGGTGCCCAGCGACAGGCCTGTAGCACTTGGGGTTCCTATGTGCAGCTTGATGAGCAGTCCGGCTCGGGAGGACTCCTGCACGGCCGCCATCTGCCACATTTTTTCTGCGGGGGACATGGAGCCAAGATGGGTAGGGCTGTTTCAAGTTTTCAGCCTGGAAGGAATGAAAATGAATGTAGATAATCATCTTTGGGAATTTTGCCAGAACTGTATATACCTTAAACTTAAGTAAGGTCCCTTTATACATTTTAACAAAAGAAATTCTTTACTCCAACTAAAAATTTCTAAAACACACGTTCAAATTTGTGTATATCCTTGAGTTCTCCCCAGCTATCTCATCCCTACCTGTCTTCTGCCACCCTAATCCAAAACTGCCTCATTGTGATCCCCCAGGCCAAGATGACCCAGGAAAACCTTTGTAAACATTCCAGATGGCTGATACAGATGTTTTACAGATCTGACTTTGAGGAGATTCTGCCATAAAAGAATTTTGTTGACTAAAGCCCTGATCCCTAAAGAGAAAAAAAAATCTAAGTCTAAAAATAGGGCAAGGGGCTGGGGATTTAGCTCAGAGGCAAAAAGCACCTGCCTGGCAAGCGCAAGGTCATGAGTTCGGTTCCTGGTACCAGAGAAAAAATAAAATAAAAAATAAAAATAAAAATAAAAATAGGGCAAATATTTTACTATAACTTAAACTGTTATACAAATAAAACTACATAGAAACTATAATATAAACATATACACAAGCGCCTGCCTGGCAAGCACAATGTCGTGAGTTCGGTTCCTGGTACCGGAGGAAAAAAAAAAACAAAAACAAAACAAAACATATACACATACATACATATAGTTTAGAAAACCTTGAGAGGAAATACCTGTCGATACTATAACATGGATTAAAATATTCTGTTAATTTATAGACCTATTAATACACTAGAATTCTAAAGAACAGATGATTGGGATGATTTTAGGAACTAGATCACCTTTTCAGAAATTGAGATACAAACCCAAGCAAAAAACAGATAGCTGGTTCTATTTTTTTTTTTTTAAACCTAGAGAACATAAAGTTGGTTTAAAAAAAAAAAATTTAAAAATAAAGAATGGGTAAGGAAGAGAAAATTTGTAAGGCAGTAAATACTTAAAACATTTCAGCAAGTAGAGCCTTTCTGAATATTTGATTTATATAATACCATTATTACCAAAGTATCTATTTCTTAATGAGAATATTCAATCTTATGAAAAATAGTAAAACAGATACTTTTACATGAGCTAGTGAGATTACAAAAATATTTGGTCATATACCAAAAACCAATAAAATGTCCATATCTACAGACCCAGTAATTCCATGTCCATGTGTCAAACCTCAAGAAATAACTGGTATAGCAATGTTTCAAATTTTAATTCAGTAGCTTTTTAAAATAAAATAGCTGTGAATTTCAATAACAGTAAATTATAAGAAAGTCACTTGAATATTAAAATGTTAACATTTTTAACTGCTTTAACATTTTAATATATAAACACTTAAAAGATACAAACAAATATACAAAATATTAACAGAGATTCTAGATCAGTGATTTTCAAACTGCAGGTTATGAAATCAATTTGAATGCAGCTGGAAGTATTGGGGGCCTACTCTTATGAAATTCACTTCTTATTTAAATATGTGTATCTTTCAATGGGTTGTGATTGGTTTTTGTTGTTTTTTTTTTTTAAATCTCTCTGAGAAAGGCTTTCAGGGGCCAGGGATGTAGCTTAGTGGCACAAGCCCTTCCCTGGAAAGTGCAAGGTCCTGAGTTCAATTCCTGGTACCAAAGAAAAAATAAGAAGAAAGACTTTCAGTGGCAAGATTATAGTCTTTTGCTCTTTTCTGAATATTCCAAACTTTCCATAAATGACATGTTATTTTTGATTGGCAAAAAAATAAAATCTCTCTAATCTGATTGAATGTCAGTAGAAGGAAACCTATGTTTTCCAACATTGTATGAAGATACAGAACAACAACAAAATCATAGCTCCTAAGAACTCAGCCAAGTAGAGGTAATATATAGGGGTTGAGGCACAGAAAAAAATTTGCCAAAATACTAACATTGTAGGGTTTTTATCTTTATATTCATTCTTTCCATGTTTTGTTTGTTTACACCAGGCAAACCTTTTTTAGATTTAAAATAGGAAAAAAAAAAAAAAATAGAAGAGCTGGAGCGTACTTGACCTGATAGACACTCTTAGGATTGCTGACTTTAGGAATGAGCTGAGATTCCGTGCTGCCGCTTTCTTCATCAGAGGATGAGCCGGAGGAGTACTCTAAGGAGGCTCTGTTAGCAGCACAACTGATTTGTTGAGTTAATTCCCATTCCTCCCATTTGCCTTTAAAAGAAGCGATTGTAAATGGATGTTTTTTTTCACCACACCTAAGTAGGAAAAGAAATTATTCATTGTAGAGATTCAACTTCCCACAAATTCTATCTCTAAACATCTCTGGAGACAACATGCTAATTTTTAAAAGTTATTTTAAAAAGGATGGATCCAAAAGAACAGAGTGAAGGACACTATGACCTTTGGTGACTGTAGTAATTAGTAGGGCCATCCCGTAAAGCTATCTTGGTTAATTGCTCAAGAAAATGACAAAGACCAGTTTCTTTCAGTTCAACTAAGGACTAAATGGCCCCCATTGTCGGTAACTCTTCTTTTTTCCTGGTGTTGCCTATAATTCTGAGAAGTCACCAGCCTACAGTTTGCAATAGAGTGCAGTGAATAAAGTCACACTGCAAGTTTCTGCAAAATCTTTGCACTTCCCCCTTCATCTCATGAAAATAAAAGTTTGCATGTAAACTCTTAACCAAGCAGTATGCCCTCCCTACTTCGGGAACATCACCTTTCACAAAGTATAGAGACCTGACTAAAATAAACTTGTTTCCAGGGTCACAGAGCACACAAACTATGAGAACGCTCACCTACAGCACACTTGAAAGGGATCTACCCATATGGTCATCTCTTTTGGAAGTCCCAGGTGAAAATAATTCACTTTACTCTCAGCACAAGCCCTTGCCAAAATGGGGTCGTTATTCTGATGGTTTATTCGGATACATCTTGAGGAAGGAGCAGGAAAGGGAAGGAAAATGACATGAGGATGGGTACCTTGGCACTATTCCAAAAAAATCTTATTGTTGGTACACTATTCCATACACACAGCTCCCGCCTTACTCCCACCGTCCCCTCGCCCAGCCCCAATCTTACAAACAGAAGTATCAGGTTTTGACACAGTGACTCATAATGTTGCAGCATTAAATCACATGATTAGTTTACTAGATATCACTGTGTATCTTTCATGGCAAACACATGTTAGAAATTGTGTAATCTGCCTTATCTACCGGAGCTAGCTCCATAATTTTCATCTGTCAACTACCGCATCTTTCTTTCAAGCCCACGTTGAACCAAATGAATTTGAGTCTGTAAAACTTTCACAACTCATAGACAGACAAGAGAACCAATTCATTCTCCTAGCAGGTGGCTATTGCTTGTAGGTTCCCGCCCTTTCCCTTGCCACATACTAGCACTTACCTGAAGGCTTGCCCTTTAGAAGGGCAGGTGGGGTGCCAATGACCTCTGTATGTCTCAAACAAGATTTTCATCAGCTTTTCTGCAAAGTCTTCTATTTGCCATTTATTCAGTTTTTCATGTTTTTTCACCAGTCTTGTAACAAAGAAAACTGCTGCTGCTATTTCATCTCTCATGATTCAAGAGCAATCTATGAGGAGTCCTGAAACCCCAATGGGAAACAATAAATCACACAGGGACAACAGTTTGATTTACTATCCGTACCTAATTGCCATTTGGAAATTTTAGATCCCCAATGTATTAAAAATAATTTTCTAGGAAAAAAAAAATCCTCGGTGAACTAAATAAGCACATCAACATTCATCAAACAGCACAACAGCTAAGAACACCAATTCTTTAACTTTCTTGTTTCATAATTGTTCAAAGGAAAAAAATCTTTAAAACTTTAAAACACTTAAGAAACAAATGAAATATTATGTAAAATGTTTTTAAAATATCAAGTTAATTAAAGTTAAGGTAATAAAATATTATTTCATAATACTATGAAATACTAAGTCAAAAAGGATCCTAATATAGGACAGTAAAGGACACATATTTACAAATGGCAAAACTTTCCAAGAGAGAGCAGCTTGAAAATGTAGCTTACAAAGCTAAACACTTTAAGATTAGTCAAGCAAATATTATACTTGCCAGAAAAATCCTTCTAGTCCCAAAAAAGTGGGTCAGAGTTAAAAGACTACAGCCTGGGATTACAACTCTCACTCATGCCTGCCTTGTGAGTTTCTGGCTGCAGTTTTTATAAGCGTGGGCCCTAAAAATCTGATTGGTAGCTCACTTTACACAGGTGCTCTGCATTAGGATAATATATTGCTTTTTCCAAGACTCCATTGGATTGCACCTTAGCATGTACAGAGTAACTCATTTAAAGTGCTCAAAGATTTTCATGCTGGTTTTAATTTTTCTATTTTGCTATTAAAATCTAATTTTTTATGACAAAAGGTAAGAATAAACCCCTCTCCTTCTAATGCTAATATCCTAATTTCAGCTCTAACTCTGTCAACACATTAAAGAATTTTGTCGTGGATCTTTTATAAAACTTCAGAGAACTCTCTTTGAGCAGTCCTTATGTTAACTGCACACGTTTTCACTCAGATGTTTATTTGCAGAATAAATGGAAGAGATCTTAGCCTCACTAGTTCTCGAAGGATGAGTCAGTTATTGCCTGATTTGAGATCATTAGGTTGCTTATTTAAAAATTCAGCTTCTTGGACCTTATCCCAGATGTGCTGTAAAAATTCTAGTAGGTAAGACATTGTAGTCAGCCTGTAACAAGTTCCCCAGATGATCATTATGCTGTACCGACTAAAAGGTTTTAAGAATCACTACACCTGATATATGTAAATCTTTAACACCTATGATTGGTGGTCACTCTTATTTCCTGATAAATAATCTCTTACAAGGAAATCCACTTTATTTCTGAAATGCTCCAAATGTCGCACCAATCAGTCCTTCCTACCTCCATGGAGCCAAATGTACTTCTTTGATTTTCTGTATATGTAGCCTGGTTTTTACCTCTGGAACTATAGATTACATCGATTCCTCCACCATATATTGATGTTTCAAATACTACTACTCAGCCTCCCAAGTCTTCTCTTTTTAGAGGCTGAGTATTCTCCTTCCTGTAGACATATCACATCTGGATAAGCTTTGGGTATATCGTTAAAAGTCCAGGGCCAGACTTGCATACAATTCTCCAAGAGTGCTCCACCAATAAAGACTAGCGCAGTCTCTGTCGCCTTCCGTGCTCTAATACTGTATTCAGGGGGCCTTTGCCTGCCACCACTCACTCACACTGAACCTAAAGGTGCTCTTTCACACTAATTCTGTTGTTTTGTCACATCATTCCCTTCCTGTACCCTACAACTTTTAAGAACATGGGCTTTGGAGTCAAATGAACCTGGGTGTAAAATTGCAACTTTACAGCTCACTATCTGTTTTATCTTGGATAACTTGTTAAATCTCTCTGAAACGTTCCCTTCTTTGGCTTACAATGCGAGGCACAATAGCGACCTCATAGGGTTGCTGTCAAGATTACAGCAGATAATTGAATTACCTGGTTTTTATTTGTACAGCAAGGCACTACAACAGAGTAGCTAAAATTCAACTATAAAATCTACGTCATGGAAACAAATCCCAGTCCTCTAGCTTCCTAGAAACTTAGGGAAGTTTTTCAACCTCTCTAATCTTCAAGAACTACTTTTGAAAAAAGAGGATGTGATGTCTGCTTGTGAAGGGTTTGCAACTAGACTACTCGCTTGGATCCTAGCTGAATCTACTGTGTGACCTTAGCAAGTTATTTAACCTTCTGTCCCTCAGTTTCCTCATGTATATAAGGAATATAACAACATGCCTACACTGTAGGATTATTATGAGAATTAAGTGTAAAGTGCCCAGAACAGAACCTGGTACTCAGTAAGTGCGCTATAAATGTTAGATATTATTACTACTGCTAGTACCACTGACTACTGACTTGCGAAGTTCTTGTCAAGATTAAATTATAAAATTATATAAAGCACTTAACACAGTTGTGACATAAAGCAAGTGCTCCAAAAGTGGCCTCTGAAATTAGCAAACATAAGTAAAGAATTTTATATTTATCCTATTATTATGTCATTTCCAATACTGCATGATTCAAATAAAGTAAAACAACTAGATACTGGTGGGAGACCAAATAAGAAGATTAAGGCCTAACTGGCCTCTTCTGCGAGCACTAGAGAGAAAGGTAGAAAGTGTATGCTGACACGCTGCGTGGAAAATCAATACAGCTGAGACCCTGTTGTTTACTTGGATATGTACCGTGGATGGTGGCAGACAGATGAATCCTGTTTTATTCTGATTGCTCATGCCTGCGACTGAGTGAATAAAGCCAAGGTGCACCAGTCCCTTGGGGCTTTTTGTGGCAAGAAGACAAGAGCCCCTTGGCCCCACACATTTTAACCTATTCTATGTCACTTTGTATTTCATCTTCGTTGCCCTTTGATCAGGTATGAGCTCATAGGTTGGCTCCTGACACATACTGGAGCTTGACCTATCATATTTCATTATGTTAAATATCTTTTTTCCTTTTTGCAGTGTGGGGATTGAAACTAAGGACTTCCAGGGAAGCACTCGACCATGAGCTCCATCCTCACCCCACTATGTTAAATTTAGATCACCGCTACAGTAAGTCAAGGTTATTTGTGATCCACATTTTATCATTCAATAAATTATCTTTTTGGTTACCTGTCATTTTTATATTTTGGTAAGAATATTAACTATACCTGCTCCCTCCAACAAGTAATGAAGAAACAAGTTGAATAGAATAGAGATCAAACCGGGCCAGGGATATAGCTCAGCAGCACAAGCGTCTGCCTGGCAAGTGCAAGGTCCTGAGTTCGATTCCAGGTACCAAAAAATAAATAAATAAATAAATAAAAATCAATGCAAGGGCTTTGACAAAATTCTAGGAGCTCTCTTCAGAATGGTATTTGTTCCACTTTGAACAATTCTTCTATCTGCAGGGGAAAGCTAGTCAATGGTGAAGATTTCACCAGTTACCTTGCAAAATCTGTATGTCCTTTAATATACCCTATCATGAAAGAAGAAGGTGTTTTAACCTGACATACCTTGTTCTTTAGGATCTCCTGCTATTCCAAGTAACCCCAACTTCCATAGTATTCAGAAACTGTTTGGTAGAATATTTAAGAACTTTGTCTCATTTAAGGCCAATGTTATTGGTCTGTAATATAAGGCATCTATTTTCTTTTTAAAATAAACATTATACTACATAACTGTCTCTAGTCTTTCACTTTATGTGAGTAGAACATCATTGATAAAATAATGCAGTTTCATTGTTCACCTAACTTGATCAAGGGGTAAACTAAAAAAGAAAATATGACAAGGTTTCTAATTGAATGCAGTGGAATGAATTAATATCTGTTATATGGACTTCCTAAGATTTCTGTAGGATCATACCTTGATCTTTAAAAGTTACAAAAGGTTGCTTAAGAATAATGCATTTGAAAAAGAATGCATAGTTCTGATCTATCAACAGATCAAAATTTATATATATTTAGAGTAATGCATGAATCTGGTATTTATAATCATCATTAATCTAGCATTTATCAATAAGCTTCATATCCTAAGTAGAAAATTAAAACCACTTTGGTTTCATAAAATTAGTATCATTCAAAATTCTTGTACTAATTTAGTAAAACTACTTACACCTGTACACAGTACTCACTGATTTCATAGATTTTAAACTCAATGGTCATATTTATAGTCTAAACCCAATAATTTGTATGTTTCCTAACTATAATCTGTCTCCATAAAATAACATCAAGAAATCTAAGTTATATCTCCACTTTTTCTATAATTATGGGCAAATTAGTTCATTGGTACCTCTGTTTTATCTAACTCTGTCTCAATTTAGCTGCTCTGGCTTCTTCAGGAAAAATAAAGGTACAATAAGATGTTTAACCTGAAATATATAATATAAATGATGTATAAAATAAATTTTACTTAGAAGGTTAAAATGAATACAAAATCAAAATGTTAATCTTTAGAATTTACTATGTTTCAAACTACTAAGATGAGCTAGGCGGAGTGGTGTAAGCCTGTAATCCCAGCACTCGGGAGGCTGAGGCAGGAGGATCGTTGAGAGCTCGAGGCCAGCCTGGGCTACAGAGTGAGCTCAAGGCCAGCCTGAATTGCATAGCGAGACCTTGTCTCAAAAAATAACAAAAAAAAAAAAAAAAAAAAAACAAACTACTAAGATGAAAAGTATACCTAGTGGCAACCACACATACAAAAAATGAAATATTTCAAGTAACTCTGAAAAACATTCAAATATATTCTAAAGACAGAGCTGCAAGGATTTATTATTCTAAACTTATTCAGTAACTTAACTGCTTCTAGTAATATTGGACTATTTTGAAATAATCATATGAATATATAATAGAAACAGAATATAGTAGAGTAATGCAAATGTGTAGTTTTATGAACTAAGACTTTCAATGTAAGGAACTATGAACATAAAATCCAAGAAATTAACTTAAAATCTTGTAATGTTAAACTTGAAGTGGATATATTAATATAAATTTGTAACTTTTTTCCAAAAAAATGTATTTTAGTTCTGTCCTCTGAAAAGGCTAAGAATCAATAAGCACACTTATTATTCATTTTATGGTTTCTAACTACTATGCCCCACTTTAAAAAAAAAAAAAAAACTATTTGGAGAAATGACAGATATCAGCCATAACTCACATATTACATTACATGAGCCCGGAATGTCTTATTCCAGAAAGCAAGGCAACTATTAAAAAAATATTATGGGTCATATCAAAAGACACAAGAGCCAGTATGAAGAGCTTCCTTCAGCTAAAATAAGTCAATTTAAACATTATTAGTAGGTGCTACATTCCTCCTTCGGGACCAACACAACCATCCCACAGCTACTAGAAATATGAGACTCTAACGGCTCATAGCCGCACCTCTCAGGGACTGTTGGCCTCAAAAACTGCCCGCCTGAAGTTATTCCCCTTTCAAGGATAGTCTGCAGTCACTGCTGACAGCCTAAGGTCGTGATACAAAAACTGGGCACCTGTGATTCAACTTAAAACACTTCTGAAGGCCACACCATCTCTCCAGCTTCCTATAAGGTAAACCAAGGTCTCCACTGTAACTTTGTCGATCCTAGTGCTCAGTCCTATGTTCCTCACTTCCTTTTAGGTGTATCTCTCAAGAACACTCCTCAATAAACCTGCTATCGGCCACTCTCAGAGTATGTTGTAAGGAACCCAAGATAGTTGTCCCAGGAGTGTTCTAAGGGAGTAGATTCTAAATTGGGCTTTTTGGACCTGGATTACTCACTTGCTGGATGAAATAAACACTTCACTGGTAGTGGTAATAGAATATCACTGTAGCTTCTGACAGGCTGCAATGGTGTGACTGTCAAAACTTTCAGCAGAGGGGCTGGGGATTTAGCTCAGCGGCAAAGCGCCTGCCTGGCAAGTGAAAGGTCGTGAGTTCAGTTCCTGGTACCGGAGAAAAAGCAAAAAAAAAAAAAAACCTTTCAGCAGAATGAGGTGAGGGGGATACAAATATTAGAGTCTGCCCTGGCTACTGTAATATCTTTCATGCTTGAGAAGTATGAGAAATGGCAAGTATATGGACTTTTGAAATGTATAGCTGAGTACTATGATATCTAAGACTGACAATTTAAAACTTAATGAAGGTTAGTTCATTCTGATTCAGTAAGTACTGAAATGTCTACTCTATGTCCTGGACATATGAAATAAAGTACAAGTGAGGGTAAGATCCTAATGATTTTCTGCCTCCAGAGTTTCTTATTTATTTCAGTTGTCCACAGTATGTTTCTCATTCCCTCACTCGATGGCATGGGTTCCCAAATTACTACACTTTGGAAACCTGAGGCTGTGTTAGAAATACCGACCCCTGCCTCCCACCCCCTAACATTCTGACTGGATTGGTACTGAGCACAACCTGGGCAGCAAGATTTTTGAAAGCTCAGCTGATTCTAACATACAGAAAAGGTAGAAAATTATAGAATAGATCTCTCTTACACATAAAAGAGCTCTTAAATTTATTTTCTATATTTAACTACCTAATAATGCCTTACACTTAACAGATTATGATGACAAATTTGCATTATTTATTCTCATCTTTTCTAACCATTTTTCAGGTTTATTGAGGAGTGTTCTTGAGAGATACACCTAAAAGGAAGTGAGGAACATAGGACTGAGCACTAGGATCGACAAAGTTACAGTGGAGACCTTGGTTTACCTTACAGGAAGGAAGCTGGAGAGATGGTGTGGCCTTCAGAAGTGTTTTAAGTTGAATCACAGGTGCTCAGTTTTTGTATCATGACCTTAGTCTGTCAGCAGTGACTGCAGACTATCCTTGAAAGGGGAATAACTTCAGGCGGGCAGTTGTTGAGGCCAACAGTCCCTGAGAGGTGCGGCTATGAGCCGTTAGAGTCTCATATTTCTAGTAGCTGTGGGATGGTTGTGTTGGCCCCGAAGGAGGAATAGCACCTACTAATAATGTTTAAGCTGACTTATTTCAGCTGAAGGAAGCTCTTCATATTGGCTCTTGTGTCTTTTGATATGACCCATAATATTTTTTTAATAGTTGCCTTGCTTTCTGGAAGAAGACATTCCGGGCTCATATAATGTAATATGTGAGTTATGGCTGATATCTGTCATTTCTCCAACTTTTGCAAAGGTTTTTTTTAATTTATCTTAAAAGTAACAAATCTAAAATTCAGAGCAACTCCTGGATTATTGCTGAAATAATATATGATTCTGAAGTAAAGGCAATATATACATTAGCAAATACACAAATTTTCCATTAGAAATGGCTAGTGGTAGTATTTACATTATTAAAATGGTGCCAGGTGTTTAATAATTTTTTGTTACTTCACTTTTCTCCCCGATGACACACTGTTCCATTACACTTTGAGTTGGCAAAGCACATTAGCTGATGAGGTTTAAAACCCTCTCTTAGTATTATTTTCTGCAACAGGCCCAAGCAGGCCTTGGAAGTCGTGAATAGAACTGTAGAACAACAGTGTACTTAGATTTCAGGAAAGAACAATCAAATAGAAACTCAGCATCAAATATAAAAACTTCCGTCAGTTACTTGTTTATTATACTTCAAACACCTGATTTAAATCACCTCCTTTACATTAATAACAATTACCCCTCCTGGTATAATTAACATTCGCTTAGTGACTACTTACTGACCATGTACTACACATTAGATACTGCTATGGAATATACAACAAACCAACTTAAATGTTCCTGCCAAGAGGCTTGTAGTCTTGAGAAGGAAATCAGATGTACAGACACATGACTGAGTCAGGGTCTGAGAAATGAAATACTAAAAAAATTATTCCAAGTTTCAAGTATTAGTAACCACGAGAAGAATGTTATCCTTGAAGTAATTAAGGCATTCAGTGGAAGAACCAGTATAAAGCAAATGATGATGAGCTCAGACTGAAGTATATTGAATTTTCTGTGGTAATTAGGCACCCAGGAGTAATGTCCATTGAAAGGACATTAGAATTTACCAGAAGGCCAGCACTTGGGAGACTGAGACAGGAGCATCGCTGCAAGTTTGAGGCCAGCCTGGACTACATAGTGAGTTCAAGGCCAACTTGGACTACATAAGACGACCCTGTATAAAAAAAAAAAAAGAAAAAGAGAGAGAGAAGAAAGCATAGAATTTAGTAGAAGATCCATGCTGGCACAGCCTAACCCAACCTCATATTTAACTAGAAAGGAAAATGCTAAAAATTGAAGGGCAAAACATCTCCCCCATTGTTCTTATGTAATGTCTAACATTCCCATTATGAGACATTTATTTCCTTGTTTAAGACATTGTCTTTTTTTTGCCGGGCGTGGTGATGCACACCTGTGATTCCAGCACTCGGGAGGCTGAGGCAGGAGGATCACTGGGAGTTCGAGACCAGCCAGGGCTTCAAAGTGAGCTCAAGGCCAGCCTGAACTGCATAGTGAGACCCTGTCTCAAAAGGACAAAAAAAAAGACATTGTCTTTTAAGGATTTGTTTTTGGCAAGATCAGATGAGTTATGCATGGTACAACCAACAGGATGGTGTTCTGTCTGCAGAGGCTGGGTGAGGATATTAATTCTGGGTGAGGCGCCACAGAAACTGGGAAAAATGAGGTTTCTGGCCATTTTCACTTAGATGAACTACAGGAATGGACACATCAAAGATACGTTTTCCCTTCATATTATGCCTATAGCAGGAAATCAAATGGAATCAAACATGAAAATTACCTTGTGCACATAAGAGTTTCCAAAACTGCCCTTCTTCATTTTAAAATGGGAAAGTTCAACTTGATCACTAAGGGATAGTTGAGCCCCAAAATTTATCAATAAAAAAATAAAATGTGTCTATACTTGTACACTTGTCTTCTTAGTTTTAGCTATACTTCATTGATAAAATGAAAATATAACTGTTTCAAAATAGGCAAATTAATTTTAAAACATCATCTAAATTGAACATCAGATTCACTGGACTTCTGATGAAATAACTAGTCTTATAACCAGCCCTATTTGAAGTCTTTTTTTTTTTTTGTCTTTTTGGTATGCCTTCCTTAAACTAGATGTTACCTCTCTAGGCTCACCCATCCATTTACAAATGCACGCCACTGCTAAAGAGGGAAGGGTAACGGATACTTTAATCAACATAAAACAATAAATACATTATATACATAGCAGGGGGCTGTTTCAGCAGAAATACAAAAGTAAAATTCCCTAGACTAACATTTTAGAGTCCTCCATAATCTATTTTCTATTTACCTGCCTTTCTAATCTTATTTCCCTAATGGACAATGGAGGCATACTGGTGGCTCTCTCCATTGGCCATGTTTATAATCATCTCCATGCATTTGTTTGTATTTTTCCTTTCTGCTGCCAAAACATTTCTGCATCTGTGTCATACTTTCCCTTTTCCATTGAGAATCAGTTCAGTCCCCTTTTCCATGTAGTCTTCTCTCTGTCCTGACCTTTGGCAATATTCCTTATCTTTTTACTTCAGTGCTGGCTATAATGACACTGACACTAGTATTTAGGGTTCCTGAAGCACCTAGTAATCTAATTATCTTGATACTTAATACATTTCTATGTGATATAAATACAATATATAGCAAATATTTCATTCACATTAATCATATATTGTGTTAAGATTAATTTATATGTGAATATTATGTGGTATTAAGATGATTAACATAAATTGACAATCTTAATTATTTATGTGTCAAATTTTCTACCTGTCCACCTAGATTATAATCCCTGGAGGCTGTGTTCTCTAAAGATAGAAAATATCCATGAATGCATGTTGGACTTTGTCAAAAGCTTTTTCTGCATCTATTGAGATGATTATGTGATTTTTGTCTTTGGCTCTGTTGATGTGGTGTATTACATTGACTGATTTGTGTACATTGAACCATCCCTGCATCCCTGGGATGAATCCTACTTGGTCATGGTATATTATCTTCTTGATGATTTGCTGAATTCTGTTTGCTAGTATTTTATTGAGTGTCTTTGCATCTATGTTCATTAGGGAGATTGGTCTATAGTTCTCTTTGGGATGAGGGAAAAGAGAAAAGAAAGAAGGGGAAAAATATGTATATATGTATACCCAGGATAGCTAACATAGTTGTACTATCGACTTTTACTGCTCTATTGAAACGAACAGTTAGTGTTTAAGTGTATGATCAATCTTACCTGTCTATATTTGTTTATCTGAGTATCCAAATTGAAGATATCAATATGTAATACAACAACCTTGTTAATTTCCTATCACCTTGTCTGAGATTCTGTATTGCTTGTATTGCTTTTGTGTTAGTTTCTAAATGTATGTGTGTTTCTTAAGATGTTTTTGTTCTTTTATCTTTAAAAAAAAAGAAAATATCCAAGATATTTGCTTCCATGCTGAAGCCATAAGAGCTCTAGCAACCATAATTATGAAGCTTATTTTGTTACATTCTGATTTACCTAAAAAATGAGGTAACATTTTTATACTGAAAGCAACAATGCTGATTAATTGATAAACATAAACAAGCTAATTAAGAATATACTGCATTCATCCTAATGAGAGTACAATGAAATGGACCCAGAAGACTAGAATTACAAAAGCTGCTCACAGTTCATTTTAGTTCAAATGAAAACTCCCCTCTTGACTAACCAGATTCACTGATTTTTAGTTTTTCCAAAGCACTAAATTAACTTCAGTTTAGTGTTGCTCCAACATATAAACCAGTTTATAAGGACTATACCATCATGAATGTTAACACATTCATCTGACATTTGAGGAACTATATGAAAACCAGAATGTGGCTTCATGTTTTCCAAGAGAAAATACTCGTTTAAAATACAGGGTTTCTCTGAAGCTGCTCAAATCCAGTATAGCAGTTTCTAATAGTCTCATTCCTCACTTCTTCCTTCAGACCCCCTTCAAAAGCCACAGAAGACAGCGGATGTTCAGCTGGTGCAAGTGTGTGTGTTGAAGGGAAGGAGTGTGTTGCTTCCACCATTTGTCATCCCCCCCTCGCATCAGTTCTGTCTTTCATCTAGGAAGTAGAAGACATTTGTTTTTGGTACCCGTCTTTGTTTCCCCTAATCACCAAGCGCACCTCATCTCCTTAGAGCTCCCTCCCCATCTCCCTGATCACCAAAAGCCTAGAAATTAAAACGGTAAACAATTCCCCTGCAAAGTCCCTTCCTGGTGTGTCTAAAACAAATGCAATCTTCTGTTTGGGCATTTTTAACACCAGGAGCATTCTTACTTAGATTAAATCATGGGTCTCCCTGGTCTCCAGACATGCCTAGACATGCACCATAAGGCAATGAGATCCTTGGAGTTTCTCTAGTAACTGCAGGCCAAATCAACAGCAACCCTAAGAACTAGCATTCTTTTTTATTTTATTTTTTTCAAACAGAACTAGGCCACACACGTCTTTTGTCATTTTCCAGTTGCACTATATACAAAATAAACTGCATTTAAAAAAACTTATTTCAGTAGACCGTGCATCTTGATGACTTTTATATATATATGTTTTTTGATAACTTCGAAGAAAATTTTAAAAATCTACCTTCCAAGGCACCTAGCACAACGATTGCTTTGGATGGCAGCAATCCAGCCCAGGTAAGATTATTTAAAATGTAACTAATAATAATAAAAAAAAATCAATTAGAAGGAAGTATTTAATATTTTACTGGCTAAAAATGACTAACAATTTGAAAGAGCAGGACTGGTTCTATATGGTCCCAAAAGTTATAGGTCTGCGTTTTGTCTATGGGTAGAGGCTATTTCCTTGTTTTATATATATATGTATATTTGAGTGTGTGAGTAATTTATGTAATGTGTTCTATAACATTGTGACTCCTAAATATATAAGATGAATGAAGACAAAATAGTTACTTGCAAATGATCTGCCTTTTACAATTTAATTTTACAATGAAGTTTCACAATTAACATTTTCCACTTCCCTTTGGTTTCTTACGCTTCACTTTGGTGTGCATAGAACAATCTATGCCTTTGGCAAAAAAAATATGCTATCTTTCATATTCAAAAATCATGCTCTCAACCTACTCAAAGGCATCTTCTTGTTTTAACAGTGTGAGTTTGGAAATAGAATGGTCTGGATGGCCTTGCCCCTATTCGTGTTTCTAGCAGCATCTTTGAAATTATTTGCTGGTTTTGGGGAATCAACCTATAGCTAGGAAGTTTTCCTTTGTGGAAAATAACTTAGAACTAACCCTTCAGGGTCAACAATGAGTGCTCTCTAGTGGGTGAGTGATGGCTAGATCTTTGAGGACAGCTACTTCCAACTGAGTCCCAGAAAGTATGTAATCAGCATATTAATACTTATCTCCTCCTGACTCTTCCATTAACGGAAAAGAGGGGAAAGTAACTAAAAGAAAGAATTGCCAGTGATCACCCAGCAATCGTCTGTAATCGTCCCCTTTGTCCATTCTACTCCAAATACAAACACAAGCACATCGTCAGATGTAAAACTGTAAGGATAGAAAGGTGTAACTGTTACAAACCATTGTTTCTCAGACCTTCTGAGACCTCACCCTGAATGTCGGAACTGACTTGTGCTTCAAGGACCTACTCAAATCTCATCTCCGTGAACCTTCTCTGACCTCCCTCCTTTTATTTCGACGAGCAACGCCCACCGAGTTTAGCAGCTTTTATATATTGTCCCGAATGGTAAATAATGTGTCATCACTTGATAGCACTGTCCTAGACTATAGAGAGTAGGTGCTGAACATGTACTAAACATGTGCTGAGGTAGGCAGAGTTTTGCCTAAGGCTGACCTGTGAGTACAAAGCTGTGGCTTTCATCTCATAAGGAGCACACTTGGCTCTGACTGACCAACTGGCTGGCCCACTGTTTGACTGGAAGACCCAGCCCTCACCCCATTGCCCAGGCAGGCTTCTACGAGAGTAAACGCAGAAGACCGAGGAACACAGGTGCTGGCGGGGCTCTCAAAGGCAGTTAGAGGCCACTGAGGCCTACTTCTATTTGGAAAGCTCGGCCCTAGGACCCTATGTCTGAGGCCCCTGGGAAGCTCTTTTCTCTGAGCAGAACATGAAAACTGGGGTGAAGGTTGGCGTGAAAATTGGGGGGGGCACTTGTGGGGCTTCTTGAGGATTGGGAGAGGCGGGAAGGAGCTCTTGACCCTCCTGCTATATATACCAGGAAGAGAAACGAGTCTAGAATCTGCGCCTCCATCTCGAGGCCTCTTCCCCAGGGCACCCGGGGGCACAGCCCCTCCCCC